AAATATCTCAACATTCTAAATGTTCATAAAACATGAAAGCCATTTAAAGACTATTTATCTGCTTTGGACAAAAACTTTACAATAGGTACATTTTACAAAAGTAAAATTTAGACGTTTACTTCGTTACAATTTGGTACCAGAACGCACGCATGTCTCTTAGCAACAGCTTAAATGTTATTGTTTCAAAAAACATAGAATTTCTTCCACTCTTTTATCATGTCTGAACACTAATTGATTATAAAACATAAGAGCTATTGAAATTCTATTTAACTGCTTTGGACAAAAAATTTACAATAGGTAAATTTTACGAAAGTGAAAATTAGACGTTTACTTCGTTTCAATTCGTTAACAGAAACTTTGCTTGTCTCTTAGCAACAGCAAGTAAACATTGTGACTGTTTTAAAATATATAGCATTTCTTCCACTCTTTTGAAATATCTCAACACTCTAAATGTTCATAAAACATAAAAGCCATTGAAAGACTATTTATCTGCTTTGGACAAAAACTTTACAATAGGTACATTTTACAAAAGTAAAATTTAGACGTTTACTTCGTTACAATTTGGTACCAGAACGCACGCAAGTCTCTTAGCAACAGCTTAAATGTTATTGTTTCAAAAAACATAGAATTTCTTCCACTCTTTTAACATGTCTGAACACTAATTGATTATAAAACATAAGAGCTATTGAAATTCTATTTAACTGCTTTGGACAAAAAATTTACAATAGGTAAATTTTACGAAAGTGAAAATTAGACGTTTACTTCGTTTCAATTCGTTAACAGAAACTTTGCTCGTCTCTTAGCAACAGCAAGTAAACATTGTGACTGTTTTAAAATATATAGCATTTCTTCCACTCTTTTGAAATATCTCAACACTCTAAATGTTCATAAAACATGAAAGCCATTGAAAGACTATTTATCTGCTTTGGACAAAAACTTTAGAATAGGTACATTTTACAAAAGTAAAATTTAGACGTTTACTTCGTTACAATTTGGTACCAGAACGCACGCAAGTCTCTTAGCAACAGCTTAAATGTTATTGTTTCAAAAAACATAGAATTTCTTCCACTCTTTTAACATGTCTGAACACTAATTGATTATAAAACATAAGAGCTATTGAAATTCTATTTAACTGCTTTGGACAAAAAATTTACAATAGGTAAATTTTACGAAAGTGAAAATTTAGACGTTTACTTCGTTTCAATTCGTTAACAGAAACTTTGCTCGTCTCTTAGCAACAGCAAGTAAACATTGAGACTGTTTTAAAAAAAATAGGATTTCTTCCACTCTTTTGAAATATCTCAACACTCTAAATGTTCATAAAACATGAAAGCCATTGAAAGACTATTTATCTGCTTTGGACAAAAACTTTACAATAGGTAAATTTTACGAAAGTGAAACGTTTACTTCGTTACAATTTGTTACCAGTACGCATGCTTGTCTCTTAGCAACAGCTTAAATGTTATTGTTTTAAAAAACATAGAATTTCTTCCACTCTTTTAACATGTCTGAACACTAATTGATTATAAAACATAAGAGCTATTGAATTTCTATTTAACTGCTTTGGACAAAAAATTTACAACAGGTAAATTTTACGAAAGTGAAAATTAGACGTTTACTTCGTTTCAATTCGTTACCAGAAAGCGCGCTCATCTCTTAGCAACAGCTTAACAACAAATGTTTTTTTTAAAAAACATAGAATTCCTTCCACTCTTTTGAAATCTCAACACTCTAATTGTTCATACAACATAAGAGCCATTGAAATTCTATTTATCTGGTTTGGACAAAAATTTTTTTACAATAGGTAAATTTTCCAATAGTAACAATCAGATGTTTACTATGTTACCATGAAACACACTCAACCCATTCGCAACAACTTTACAAAAATATTGTTATTCTTAAAAAAATATGATTTCTTCTGCACTTTTGAAGACTTTTTTCACCAAATTTTTAAGTAATATTATTGTTTATAAAACGTAAGCACTTTTGAAATTCTGCTTATTTTCACAGACACGAGAAATTCACAACTTGTAAATTTTGCAAAAGTAAAAAGCAGCCATTTCTTTGTTTTACGTTGTTACTGGAAAATGCGCTCATCACTTAGCAACAGCTTAACAACAAATGTCATTGTTCTGAAAACAACACTGCTTTTGGACACAAGAAACTTACATAAGGTAAATTTTACAAAAGTAAAAAAAAATCTAATGTTTACTTCGTGGGTCTCTATTTTCAGGAAACGAGTTCATCTCTTACCAACAGGTTAACAACAATTTTTTTTTTATTGTTAAAAAAAATAAACATTTCTCCTGCACTTTTTAAATATTCTGGGTGCAGCCATGTCTCCTTAAAACACACATTGCCGTTATTCCCTCTGGGTCCTGGACAGCAATGTTAATTCATCCATCTGACGTTGCCAAAGGTGACGGAGGGCAGAAACGGTCTTATAACTTCTCCATAAGCCTCTGTTGTTGTTTCAGTTTTGCTCTCCTCCGCTGTTTGTTTTGTCCTTCTCAGGATCTCCTCCGGATTTTAGTGGCGCTGGAGGATTAAAAAGGGCCTCTGCTTTTTCCAGAAGCTTGTTGTTAATGGCCACTGTTGGCCCTTTATAAAACCGTACTTGGAATTTATATTGAGCATGTAGGGCCTGTAATCCCTCATAATATATATGACTGGCCCTATGTTCCATCATTGGCCTGCCAGCATTCAATTTCCAGCATATGGCTTTCTCCTCCTCTTTAATTTGTACAATCATCATGTTCATTGGGGGTGGCCTATAAAATGGCGTTTCAGGTCGCCAGTTTGTTATTTTAGTGAAAGTTATCCTCGTGGAAAAGGGGAAAAAAAGGAGAGAAACAAAATGTCAATTACAAAACCCCATCAACATTTCTTTACCCAAGTGTGATTGTTCTCAGAGAAGGTTTGAGCGCTAATCTATTAGGAGCTATTGTAACGGATCTCTTCAAGAAGCTTCGATCAGATTTCAATCAAGTTTTTCTTTATTCTGGGAGAGAAGAACAAAACAAATTAGCTTCCTCTCCAAATCCTCTCCTTACACTCCAGCCCCTCAGCAGCGCGAAACAACGCTGTCTGCTAACAATTTATTTAGTATTATTATTATTTTTTTTTAGACTCAACAAGAGTCAACAGAAAAAAAGAAATCTCACAAAAATAATAAACTAAAAACAAGAAGAGAAAAACACCACCTGGTGGCCACAACATTACAATACAGGGGGACAGAGTTAAATTAAAAGATTAAAAGTATAACTTAAAATAAAACACATACCTGGGAGAGAAGAACAAAACAAATTAGCTTCCTCTCCAAAGCCTCTCCTTACACTCCAGCCCTAAATGTGAAAATAAAAATAAAGTTCATCCGAGTTGTGCTAGACTAACTAGCACCGGTTGTTCGCGCCAAAATAAAAAAGAAAGAAATTCTAATAAAACTGTTTAGAAAAATCGGCAATGACTGTCAAAACTGCAAAGCAACGCACTAACAGCAATAATAAACAACACATGGTAGAAACCTCAGAGTAAACAACAATATTCATACAGAAAACATACATCACTGCAGCGAACTTTCCTCTGACTTACCCTCAGCAGCGCGAAACAAGGCTGTGAGGGGAAAGGGGTAAGCGATGAGCTAGGGCTGGGCAACTACGGAAGCCTAGGAGACATAATCGAGGCAAAGTGCAGAAAAGCGACCCCCGCAGGCAAAAGCAACAAATCAAAATAACTCAATAAGATAAAATTCACAAATTCTCGATATAAAATGAATTTGAAATAAAAATTTTATAAACACATTTGTAACTCTGTTACACTATCTTAGTGCAAACATTGGCACTTTAGCTGGTGCTTTACTATTTTGTGGGCTGTCCAAGCGCAGCAGGTGATGCATGTTCCCAAGACTGGGCCCCTACTGGTTAACTTGGGGTCCCAAAGAGTCAACGAGAGGCCACAAACGCGGCATCAGTGAGGAAAGTGGGATTTATCACTATTAGTAGCACCTGATACATCTCCAGAGGTAACATACTTAGGTTCATTTTGTACGTTTCATACTTTATTTGCACTTTTCCAACTGGATTTTCATTCATTGCACATGTGTAAATGACAAATTAATTCTGTCTTCATACCTTGTTATTAGAAGAGCTCAAAGGAAGTAAAAATGAAACGTGATTTAGTTCAAATTTGGAGCTTCCCATATTAGTTGGTACTTTAATGATAACGTGTTCACACTTCAGCACTCATACCAAGCAACATTCTGATTGATTGGAAAATAATTTACACTTAAGAATGTATGTAAAACTAAGGAGCTCAGAACTTACCTTTTTTCGAACCACAACGTATTCGCAAACCTGGGCGGTGAAAATGGCCAAATCGTGTACCCAGCCTTTCGTAAACTGGACATGGGCCTCCACTGACTTTTAATCTTTGAACTGATTCGCAGTGTAAGCACTGACACCACAGACCAGGTAAGCAAATATGTCTGGGAATGTCAAATGAGGTGATGACCATGTCGTTTTGAAGCCATCTTGTGATCTTTCCATCTTAGAAACCCTCAAGAAGATGAGGATACTGCATATCCTTAATGTAACCGTGTTTTCAATACCTCGTCTTTGTGAGCCCATTTAAGACATTGGCGTACTCGTTGTCCATTATGCACTGTTTTGAACTAGGAGAAATCCACTTCCAGCCCTCCATTTGCATTCCGCGCGTCATTCGGGTCACGTGTCTGAAACCCAGCAATTGCCCGCTCAGTCGGCCGAGCCCACACACCCCCAGCACCCTGGACTGGAAGCTGTTTGCTGTTTTTACCTGAAAGCGGCCAGCTCTCTGTTATTCTTAGTAATTAGTTTTTCACAAATTACTGGACTGGTGACATATTTAATAAATATGGAAAAAACATACTTTTGCAGCTGTAATCCTGTCTACCTTGCCAACACAGATAGACATTGACATTTTGCCCTAACTAACTGTGGTTGTGTAGCAAAGGACAGCAACTGTCTCATCAGTGTTTTTGTTTTTTTTCAAATTTCTTTATTAGTGATTTTTTTTTCTTATTATTATTGTATGCCTGTGTGCAAGCTTGCATGCATAACTCTGCATTTGTAAACTAAACATATACAAGAAAACTGCAGGAACATTGAATCAATTATGTGGCATCAGCAAAACACAACAACACACAACAGGAATTAGTTTACATACAGTGTTTCACACAGCCGTGAGGGGCCATGTTAAAGGGACAGCAGGACGTTGACGTCAGAACAACACAGCGGCGTGAACGTAAAAGCTGAAGCTCGTCATAGTTACAGCGACTCATTCGGTGGAGCTCTTTATTAAATCTGAAATAATCTGAACTGCCAGCGACTTCCTGTTCTCCTCGAAAGACAAACTTTTATTTCCAATTATTTGTGTAAATTTGCGTCTCAAATGAGCCATTCAGAAATTCTATGGCTAAATGGAAACTGACCAACCCAATGCTTACATCAGATGTTTTAGTAAACTTTTACAGTAATATTTTTTTCCAGCCCCCCTCCACCTCAGCCTTCTCTCCTCGCAGCTCTGGACAGTGCAGCAGTTTGATCGACATGCAAAACCGAGGACATATCAGGAGAGCGACGAGTCTGACGACTCTATGACTTCACATCCTGCTTCTTTTTCTGGAATTTTCTGAACTGGGACTGGATGGCCACGGCGGCCCTCTGCGTCTCTGGGTCGTCCATGTCGATGTCAAAGTCCTGGGGGACGTTGTTTTTCTTTTCATCTGGGGTGGACAGGAAGGGAAAGAGTGAAAACATGTTGGCCCGTTGAACGCATGTCTGTGGACAAATGTCCAAGCCTAAATGAAACCAGACATTTACATACGCTGAATTAAATAAATCTTGTTTTCCTCAAATGTTCGACATTAAATCAGACTCAACGTTGACAGGAAAGAAACTCATTTAGACAAACAAAATATGACATTTGATGAACTGCGTATCCATCTTGCTCGATTTGTTTTCGGGGAAAAGAAATAACTTCTACCGTTTATGATTTGGTCTAAACTTAGATGCAGAAAAATTCATTTCAAACTGTCATTATTTCATAAACAATGCTGAGTCGAAATACTCAGTGAATGAAAATAAAAGTGTCCCAATTAAGTGTTAGACATCTCTGCATCAGAATGTTGGATGGTGAATGACTTCATCGCTCCCAAAAAGCGAGTAAACGTAAAACAAATTTCATTCAAAATATCTTTATGTTGAGTGGAACACAGTGTGATGACAGTAAAGGAGGAAAACATGAGCTGTTTGTTAGAAATAACATGCTTCTACACACATAAATTTAACATGCAATAAACAAAGATGTCTCTCGTGTTTGCAGGGTCGCGTCTTCACACCGCAGTTTTCAGTTTTCTGCAGACGTTTTGCCGCGTTTTACGGTCTGTAACGATGGCGAGCCATTTTCTTTCTAAGCCATTCTTGAATTCTTTCCATGCAGGTTTCCTGTTGGATGACGAGCGGCCGGGATCCGAGTCCAGAGACTCGTGTGCTGCAGAGAGCCACGGACCTCAGCACTCCAAAATCAAGAGGAGCCACCTGCTTGATTTACAGTAGATTTGAGTTTTCTTTGTCTTTTAAAACTGAAATTTTTCCATTTCATAAGACAATGTCGACTGACCAAACAGCCGCAGTTTCTAAGCGACATCGTGTCTGAAACTTCGAGGCTTATCAACATGCGTCTTGTAAAACTCCAGTCAAGCAAAACCTCCTTCTTTGTGCTTCCAGGGGTAAATAAACACAGAGGTGCATGTTAGGCTTAGACAGTGTTGATTGTTCACACACACAAAACGTGGTCAACAGATCAAAAAATATTCTGTCTTTAGAACGGAGGCTTCGCTGCTTCCTCTGAATCGTGTGTTCATGCATCGAAGTGGGTCATACAGTGCAGAGCTCCGGGCATGCTGAGCTGGTCCCGGTGAAAGTGGGCAATCTGCCGGTAAAAAGGATTTTTCCAAACGGTTTACTCACATTTAGACGGAGCCTTTTGCTGACCCTGCGTTGCTTGGATGACAATAAAAACAGAACCATATTTCAGAATCGCAGGGCAGACTCTCACAACACGCACAGACTCTTCCCGACTGTCCCGACCTCTCTGGAAGGTCAAAGGTCATCAAACTTTAGCTGGACTTCAGAAACCTGGCACACTTTTTGGAAAATAATTTTAAAAAGGGTTTGTGTGAGACTTAGTTCTGGTAAAGAAATGAATATTTCTTTAATTCTTAAAAAAATTAATTTCTTTGATTAATAATAAAAAAAAGCATTTAATGCTTTTTTTATTTTTTTTTACAAAAGTCCTGAAGCCGAAATGTTGCCACAAAAAAAAGAATTGCCCTTAATAATGACACATAAAAAAAATAAAATAAAGTAAAATAAACTTTCATTCTCAGAATCAGAGGAAAAATCTCTTTTTATTTTGTGCAACACGTCACAGTACCTTGCATTTACTCAACATCAGCAACTCGAAACCACATCAAGGAGGAAAACAAGAAAGATGACAAAAATAGGCACATTTCACACATGTGGGAAATTCAATTAACTTTTTGTGTTCCTGTGGGATGAACTTGTGCCGTAACGCTCCTTATCAACTGGGACAGAAATTCAATTCAGCAGCAGTCCTCTCAGCTTTATCAGCATCCAGAGAGCAGAGACATCCAGCTGTGCTTCTCTCGGTGGATTGAGGTGATGGAGTCATTGAGCTGCTGTTAACTTGCTGCATGGATTGTGTTAGCAGAAAGTTCTCTTGAAGAAGCGAAGATTTCATAGAGTATTGATACGGAAAATAATTTAGCAACAGTTGCTGCATTTCTATTGACCATGGAATTGTGGCAATTGGAAAAACGAAAGTTATTTGGATAAAATGTTTTCGTGCCAGGATCAGGTGCTTTTGTTTTTGTCCGTATCGACATTAGTGTATCCCACTAAACTGCATTAGAAACACTGCCTTCTCATCCCGAGTCATGTGATCAATAGCAGGATGTTACTGCAGACGGAAATGACACAGAGGACGACAGGAAGGATGATGTTTTTTAATGAGTGAGCAAACTCATTCACGTGTGATTTTAACTGTATTTCTCATTCAGTGGAAACGTCGCAATTTGAAATTGTTGGTGTTTTGTGCACGTTTGTAATGTAAACGTGCGGAAAAAACTCACTGACGGAATAAAAGTATTTGCAGTTATAGGCGGGTGGTTGTCCTTTTGCGTGAAACAAACTCAAATTTGTACAATTTATTAGTTTTTAAAAAAATGTAATAACGTAAAATGAAATACTGTAGAAGAAAGAGGGTTTTCTTGTCCATTTATAAAAGTCAATAAGCTTCAAATCTTATTGAAGCTTAACGGCAAAAAATAAGATAAAAATACATATCAGCTCCACTGAAACACGATTATGTTACAGCTCACATTTTTGAGCAAGAGGGTGAACATGTCTTTCAAGGTATTTTTAAAAATCTAAAGATGGAACATCAACAGCAACAACGAAGGGTTTTGTTTCACAAAAATCTCAAGAATATAAAAATTACACTGTAATTTAAAAAACCCAAAAGGTGAAAATTATGCGGCCTGTTTTATAGCATTTGCTGATTCTTGATCGTTTTATGTGTCTGATTCAAATGAAGACAAACTGGAAGCAGAATAATTCACAAATGAAATATTTCACTACATTGTGAAACAAAACCCAAAAGCGCCTAATGGAAACACTGGACAGGAACAGAAGAGGCAGACCAAGAAACCCAGGAAGAGGGGAGACAGAAAACGGGAACTAAAACGAACCACACAGAAATAAAAACAGGAAACTAGAAAGGAGAATCTGTTAATGTCATCTAAGCCAAAACAAAACAATTGCAGAATTATACAAAAACAATCTTCATCATCATCACTCTTAGTTTCGGCCAGAAAGTTTTTCTAAGAGGGCCTTTTATTCTGGACCCCAACCAAACCAAAACAAGAATAAAACATGGAGTTCTGAACATACCGTGGCCAGCAGATGGCTTGGCGGTTCCAGTCATTGCTCCAGGTGTTTTCCTCTGTAAAGTGAAAGGAGGAAGGTGGGTCAGAACTCAAAATATATATAAGATATTCTAGTTATTCTAGGATGTTTAGAATAAAATCCAAACTTGGTTAAAACTTTTATTTTAAAAATGGACAGAAAATGTATCTTTAGAGGTCATTGCGACGTTCAAAACCAAGAGGCAGCTCAAGCATTTTTACTCATTTGTGCTGTTTGTCAGTGTTATTTAATGGGCAAAACATTGAAATGTTTGCTTCCAACGCTGTGAGTTCCCCTACTGTTAACAAAGGCGCACAGAGAAATCAACTGGTGTGGCTGGTCCCGACTGATGAACAGAACCTTAGAAATGAATTGTTTTTGTTCCAGCAAGGGAACAAACCAGACTTGCTTCTGTGCTGCAGCAGGTAAAAGATTCAAAGGTCGATAAAATCCAACCGAAATGGAAAAAAACCTTCAAGTAAAGGAAGTAGTGACTTCTGCTTTCTCTCACTGTTTTCATTAATGTGGGGAGGGAGAGAAACGGTTTAAACAAAACCTTTTCTACATCGATTGTAAGATTTGGTTACTGTGTTAGAAACCAAATGCCACCCACGGTTTATTGCGATGCAGACGAAAGCGATAACTGGCCAGGATTGTTGAGCGTTCACCGATTTTGAGTTTGAATGAAGTCTTGTTACAGAGTGGGATTCACCAGAAAACTAGCAGATCGAATTTATGACAGCAAAGTTTCTCTATCTTAACCTCCAAATGTGCAGAATTTAGACCTGTTGAGAGACCGTGTTAATATCTGGTGATATAATGATGTATTCCGTGGATATGAAGACATTTTGTTGTGTTAATTACCAAACCAGCTAAGCTGTCAGACTTATATTAACTCACAGTAATGTGACAATATGATTAGAAATTCTCAGAGGCTCAACCAAAACAATCCAAACTGCAGGGGGAAAAAAATCTCACCCACTAATCATTTTTGTAATTTTCAATAAATAAGACCCGATCAGCTTTTGAAAATAACCTGAAGTGTACTTTTTAGTAAGTCCATGTTTCTGATTTTAAAAATGTGTTTTTTTATTGGTCTGATGTAATATTCTACTTTTAAATAGGTTTTCATGAGCTATAAATGGAAACATGATAAATAAAAGAAATAAAGGCTTTCAAACATCCATCAATCTACATAATGTGTTTCTGAATATGAATATTGATACTTAGTCGTAAAGATACGAAGACAAATGGACTTTACAATAATCACATTTATTGCTACATCTGCTTATAAATAAGTAATTAGGCTCAGAAAAGTAACTTATTTTTTGAGTACGGTTGATTGTAGTTCTAAAGGAGAAATGTCGAAACCAACACAAACTTCTCAGAGTTTGATACAGCAGCTTCTGAGCGCAGAGCACATCTGACCGATGTGCACTGCGCTCATGTTTCCGAGGTCCAGCATTTGCAAAGTGATTTCATTTGCATCAAACAAGACAGTTCATAAATCCTTGAGACGTTTTTAGCATTACCCGCCTTTGGGAAGGTTGAACACAAGAGGTGTCACGTGATACGAAGCAAATCATTTTTTTTACAGCCGGTTTCCAGCTGAGATCTTCGTTTCATCTCACCACGTTTGACTTGAATTATTTACTCCGTGCTTTCACCACCAAATGCCAAAGCACTTTTGATGTCTGTGAGTCAAATGAGAACAAAGTCAAACTAAGACCTGACATCTGCCTCCTGCTCCGTCACAAGAAGCAGCGGAGAAGGTTAGTTTGGCAAAGTAGCCATCTGTTTTTCTGAAATCAAAGCCGGTTTGTGCCGTTGGGACCGAGAGCGTCATGCTGACTTTCATCTGCTTAATTTGCGCTGTGGCAATCCGTCGGGTGAGACAGAGGCTGTGCTGTCACACCTCGGGCCGAGCAAAACGAGAGACGCTCAAGGCCCTATCTAACAAAACACCAGAGCGTTTTTGCTGCTAAATTATTATTGAATAAATTGACAGAAGAGCTCAACGACAAAGGCATCTGTTGTTTTTAATCGGCTACTTAGGTTGTTCATCGGGAAAAATAATCCGCAGCGGAGCGAGAAAAGTGCCTTGGTCTTCTATCGCTGCTGGTCGTCCAACATACGCATGAATTCAAAGGTTCCGGCAGAAAGTTGCCAAGGAACCTAAAGCAAAGTTGAATTACCACAGTCTGATCTTCTACTGCACAAATGAGTCGTGTTGGTTAAGGATTGCAGACGTAGAGGCAATTGGTCAAATAAATAAACCACCTTCCCGGTGTGTGGCTATTTTTGATTCTTTTACACGGCCTCCCCAGGGAGACACACTGCGCTGCACTCAGGATCTATTAAGAATTTAACAAGGAGAAAGAAAATGTAGGTCAGAGGCAGCTCATCCCAGCAGCCCTCTCTGCTCCGGAGCAGCTTCCCCACCGGCGGACTGGAGACGGGACGACAGTGAGACCGGGTTGCAGTGGCTGATTGAACGATGGCCTGTAGTCCTCTGGTCAATAATTCATTCTACCTCAAAGGCAGTTTTAAAACATTTAGACAGGATGCCACACACGGTTAGTTACAGATCAGGCTAAAAATAGGATTTAAAGCTCAGAATAGATCTTGTTTGAGCTGAAAAAAAACAAACAAACGAGCACATACTGTAACGACCGACTCAAACGACTAGGCCTTGTAGACCAGAGTTTATTTGCTACATACTAATATTGAGTAAAGCTTTTTCCCGTTTGACAGCAAGTTTGATGTTGGCTACACCACATGGCTTGACGCAGGGTTTAGACATCCCGTTTTGACCAAGAAACAGATTAAATAAACTGGTTTTAGCACTCAGCCTTTATTTTAGGATTTATTTCAGTACCTGGCAACTGGAGCACTGCCACTGAGCAGAAAATGATTGCCTATTATAGCAGCCTCTGGTGCTATGAGGCTGCAAAAAACAAGTTCAAAACGGAATAATAATAAAATAATAATCAAGTGTTCAGTCCAAGGAGGCACAGGAAGCCACTGCTTATTGAATCTTGCCTCCACTTCACTCCTGCAGTATGCATTAGTGGTTATCGGTATATCGGCCATAAAACCAGTATTAGCCAATATTAGTCATTTTTAGCATATCCGTATTGGTTTGATGAATAAAACCGGCTCAATGTTAATAACTTAACACCAGCAGCTAGTAATTGAAATCACTTTTTTATTTGAGGATGCGTAAGGTGAAAACGTAGACGCCAAAGCTTCGTCTCTGCAGTCGGTTCATCAAGCATGAGCCACTTTCAGAACAGTGCAGCTCTCATTAGCTGCTGTTTTGCCATTTACATTCATGAAACTGCGCCACGAGTGAGTTGTGTGTTCATTTTTATGAATACTTCCTGAGAGTGTAGCCTTGCATATGACTGTTTATTTTGAGAACTGCTTTCTTTTTTCTATCACGTAGTTAAAAAGCGTGGCTTGTTCCCACTGCTTGGGTGATTAAGTCACAACAACATTCAGATTTATTAAGCTATGCTCACTACTCAATCAGTTAATTTAATGAAATCTAAAAAGAATTAGTTTTCCTCAATTTATTTTATGTAAAGAGAAGTAATTAGGTTCTGCAGGGGATGATTTGAAAGGTTTTTACTACATGATTCATGAACTGTAGTTTCAGGGATTCGCTGTTATTGCAGCGGTCTGCAAATAAGAGCCGTCGCCATGGAATTACGTTCAATCCCACCAATTGATTGGTATGAATCCATCCATATGGTTCTTTGCAAGAGCTCACAATTCAACCGCAGCACTGATCCCGTTTTGGCAGCATATGGTACGATATGTTCTATCGTAATCTGTTTTGATGATGCATCCAAATGTGCGCTGAGTGATGGTTGTCTGCTTGTGCAAAGCCCTGCAGAATCCAAGATTACCTAAAGAACAGGTTTCAGCAGCAGCAAAGCCTGCTGACGGTTTAGATGGCTTACGGATCGAACCAGATTAATCTCTATTTATCTTTTAAAGGAGGTCAGGGGTCACTCAGTAAATCGGGGGAACTGCACCCTGAACTATTTCCAAAGCTGTATTCCAAACGTAAACAAAAAATGTTTCGATTGAGGCCATATAAAGAAATCAATGAGTGAACAGTGTTTCCTACCAACCGTGCAGTTTTGTTTTTTTTTCTATACTGCTCAGCATCTTTCAACACTCTAATATCATTAAACAAGAAAAAAAAAGAAAAGGAGGCCGTTCCTCTTTGGATGATGGAGCTAACGGCTTTGCCAAGTGGTTACCCTGCCCGCCCAACTCTTAGTGTAATTAAAGTAAGGGCTTTGCTAACGCAGCAGGACGTCCCAAGAGCCACTCGACTCCAGAACTGGATGTTTTCATTGAAAGTGCTCATAGGAACCTTTTCTCTCATTGCATTCTTTGACTCATTTTAAAGATGTGAAAGAGAATGTGGTATTTGATTGTCCGGGTGAGCTCGATGCAAAAAATATAAAATAAAACTGTTAATGATGAGAAAGTCACATGCCATATGTGTGGGGGGGAGCATCCAATAGCAGGCAGCACTTAACTCCATCTAACCTGCGGTGGAATTAAACGCCGACATTGCGAGAAAATTGCATCTCAGTTTCTGGTTGAAAACTTTTTTTGCCTGGTGAAAGTGCTCACGTGCGGAAACTTGATAGCAAATGATGTCAGTTCCACTAATGAGAAAGTGAAGAATGCATCAGTTTTATTGCAGCCTCAGTGTTAATTTGGCAGCGTGTGAAATCTCGCCAGCCGCTGAGATTTACAACGTTGCACGCTACCAAATTAAAAAGATGGGGAAGGGGAAGAGATGGATGTTGGACATTAAGAGTCTTCAAGCCATGCAAGGAGTTTCTGGAGCGATGTCGAACTTTTTGTGATCTGGCCGTTATCCGACATGGAGTTGAAGCAAAGGCTTGTTTTGTAATTAGAGTATAACAGACATGGCAGCAGAACAGCAACAATATGAATACACTGAACTTACTTCACCCCTAAAAGACACCTCTCATTACATTTCCAGCCCCTTTTTTGCAGCAGTTGGACAACTTTGTGATTTTAGTTGAACAACTTTGTAAAAATAGGTGAATAAACTCTATGAAATTTGTAAGAGTCGGTGATCTAAGCAGCAGACTGCTAAGTGTTTTTGTCTGACAATACTTGAACCTTTACACTATTTCAGCAGTTTGGCTGACAACAGGATGTGATAGTAACTGATACAAAAACTAAGTTATTTTCTTTTTTAATGTTTAACTTAAACATTAAACATCTTAAACAAGAAACAAGCTTGAGACTTGAACCTCTTTTTGCTTCAGGTTTTACATCCATTTCTCTTTGACTTAAACATAGAAGACTCATTATTTAAAATCTCAGCTACATTACATCCAAAACCAGGTCGTTCAGCTTCCATGCATTGAGTTCTAGATGACTCAGAAACAGCTTCTAATACTATTTCAGACCAGAGGAAACAACGGTGGCCATGTTGAATTTCTGCTCCAGTGCATCTCTACTTTCACGGACAGGTCACGTCGCCATTTGTGAGAGTCCCAATGATCATAATGTTCTTTAAAATCCAAATTGAGTCGTTACTGCTGACAGGTTGAAACGTAGAGTAGGAAACTTGTCCATTCTCCCATCATATATCAGTTCCGACCATTCAAAGTTTCCAGACTTTTATTTGAACGTCACTGTGTAAGAATTGCAGGGAAGCGTGAAGACCAAAACCTCTATTGGATGTTGAGTCACATTTTATAAAAGCTAAACACCAGACTACAAGCTGCTCCACGGAGCAGCTGGGATGTTGAAGGGGGAAGATAAAATATGTATCCTCATGCTTTCAGTCAGAGGTGATCCTCTGGGTGAGCAATTCGTGATAAGGTCTTATTGGAGGCGGTGCTCACAAATGCACACTGACAGAATGAGGTTTTTTTTTTCTTCTTTGTTTCTTCCTCTGGCATTCGCAGTTACTCTGAATAATTCAGTAACTGAACGATGTGTGTCTGGAGTCTCCGCGCTCCGCTCTGTCTCAGATCCTTCCGAGTCAACATGGAAAGTTTGATTTTCCGACCTCAATCAATGATGCATAAGCATAGAGGTCGGAGTTGTCTCCGCTTCATCATAACTTTATCATGAGGTTCTGGCAAAGAGTTATTTGACGTTGATTTATTCTTCAGTTCTGCAGCCTCTCCCATTATCTTGTGAGCAAGTTTTACTCTGAATATGAAACCAGAAGCACATTGAGTATATGGTAATCTGACTGGATTGTAACTCCTGTTTTCTAACAGCATAAATTTTACATAGTTTTCAAGGAAAAGTTGCTGAGGGAATCAACATGGAAAAAACGTAACATCACGTATAAGTACAAAATGTCAACACCTGAGCCTGTAGTAGTTCAGCTGGCTACACAAAAGTCAAAGAAATGCTCATAGTTATGAATCAAATCACTTCTAAAATAAGAAGCTTTACAGCTCAGCGAAAGGTTGTACCTCACTCATGGTCGAGCTGCGTCTCTTGGGGAGGATTCCAGCTGTGTGTGATGTGCTCCGGCCAGCAGACGATACAGCTGCTGTAGATTCCCTCTGTGCTTCCATCTGTGTGAGGTGGACGCTTTTATAGTCTGCAGAGCCCCCTGCAGCCCGCAGCACGTCTGCAACAATCCAATGAGCAGAGCTCTTTTGTCTGAGGAGCGGCCATCTGTCCAATCATCTGCTGCATGTTTGGCTTGTTTTACACATTCTGACGTGGTGACAGTGGAAGCTGACAGATTAAAGTATAAACTTCTTGTAGCCAAGAACCTGTGGCGAGATGAAAAGAAAAGATATCAGGAACCCCTGACTTTAACGTTTTTGCTTTGCATTAAAATAAAAAAAGAATAAAGACTGATATGTATGTTTAACGTTAATCTGTTTTTATCATTTATAATTTTATCAGATGTGTATAAAATGTGCTTATGCCAACGTTAGTTTTTAAACCATTAAACCATTCATACGTTCGGATTATGTAGTAATTTACAAGTCGATGGTTACTTACAGGGAAATGACAGTAGGAGGCAGCGCGTCACCAATTATCTTCCTGTATGAAACACATGCTGAAAACAGAACATGTACTTACTTTTTCCTATCAGAGTAATTATCTAAGAGAACGTAAAAGTGAATAACTTCACTTTAACAATTCTGAACTGTCCCTTTTTGTTTTGCTGCTGACGTAATTATCAAAGTGCACAAGGATTCGAGAGTTTCTCTTAACATGTCCAAATTTCTATACTGTGATTTTGTTTTACAACTAATGCAGCCATATAAGTACAGACTGTCATCTCACCAAAAACAACCAGGCATTTAAAGTCATACAAAGAATGAATGATCACAGAATACAAAACACAAACTAAAGAGGATCTTTTTGTATAAAGACCCTTTGACTCATGCAAACGAGTCAACCTGGGAGAAGACAATACTGGGACTGATGTCATTTCCAGTTTTGAGACATACAGACAGCAGGCAATTAGATTTGTGTTGTGTTTCTCAGACTGGAAGGGTTTTTAGTAAAGGATGCTAAACCTCTGGCACACAAACTGACAGCGACTGCTGTCCTTAAATAACCCCAGGAGTCATGAAAGTTTATATTTAAAAAGCAGTAAAAACTTTATATTATTGAACAATTCTTTTCAACTTTCAAGCAAAATTTTTTCGTACACTTATTCTTTCAAGATATTCAGGGATACAACAAAAAAGAGCATAAAATTGGCAATTAAAGCACCGTTACAGAAAAATAAAACGGCAACAACGCCAAGCCAAAGAGTGCAGGTAATTTTTCTTTGTTCATTACCGTTTTTCCAAGCACTACATAAGATATGGCATCATGTCCATAAAGTGCAGAAATTGTGTTTCCTTGTTGACAAGACCTTTAAATCTTTGAACTACAACACATGTCTTTGACAAATATCGAACAGAATATTCTTATTGAAGGAGATTTCTGCAACAATTTTCTAAATGAACGCGAGATTTGTTGACATCTTTTGCTGGCATGTAAAAACAGAAAACACTGAGGATAAAACAATTTCAAGGAAACAGTTGAACTGATTACAGAAGAAAACAAAAAACATTCTGTGTGAACAACAAGAATAGTTTATCCATGAAACATGTCAGAAATGTTAACGATACGACTGAGGATTTCTTCTGTGTTATGTGTTTCCCAGTCACATCAGGAGCCTCGTGTAGCACAATCAAAAATTATATACGTCTCAAATATGACTTGAAGGAAATTTAACTTCGTAATTGAATGCCTTAAAATACCTTGAAATTGGTCCTCTGTCTCTTTACAAGCTTCTGCTCATTCTGACACTCTGCTTTCAGGAAGTCCTCGCAAATTTTCCTTCTCTATTAACATTTTAACAATGATTTTTTAAAATATTTTTTTATCAGTGTTGCAAACTATCTATCAGTCTTTGCTCTTTAACACTTCCTCTCTCCAGACTTTGGACAAAACAGCTGGAAAACTTTAAAGTTCCTTCGAAAAGTCTGTCAAATGTCCATAGAGCTCTCCATCCTCTGTGTGTCGTCACACAAAGGTCATATGTCTGTGTTTCCGGTAGCCGGACTCAGTCCAGTTGATTGTGTCGTTTCTCTGATTCTCCGGCTCGTAGGATTCATTTACCCGACCCCTTACCTGTTCAGGTGTGTCGATGACACTTAGCTGGCTGTGCGTTCTCACTCTCCTGTCAAAACAAAAACATCTCACCTTGAATCTCTGCAGCCCTTTCACTCATGAAACCGTACAGTAAACACACATGGTTATTTACCTCATTTCATCTTGGTAATTTTGTTCTAGAAAGGAGCAAAAAACAACACATTACGGAATTTGAGAGGATTTTTTAAAATTCACTTTCTGAGAAAGAAAGAAACTTTCTGTTTTGGGATTACGCCGACGTGCCATGCAGAGTGATAGGAGGTAAGCCAAGAAGGAATGTCTCTTACTTTTTTCTTTCCTGTGTTTGTAGCAGATCATGATTCCGAGGATGAGAAAAACCAACAAACCACAACTTCCAAACGACACGACTACGGCTATCAGCACTGTCCAGTCTGGAGGTTTGGGAACTGTTTTAGGGGAAATAGGGAAATATCAAGTAAGTTAATGTCCCACAAAAAAACAACAAAAGCAATAAAGTTCTGCTTTTACATCTAGTGAAATTCTCTAATGTAACTTGACTCCAACTGGTAAAAAGTTCATTTTTTTTACGTTAAAGTTATTCCCATGTATGGATGGTTAAAAATGCAAAAAGAAGCTATCTGCTTTCTACATTTTTCAGACACCCTGGCTCAAATCAAGTCAGATTTTTTTAATGAAGTAAAACTTTTTCGAAGCCTGAATTGAAATGAAATATGTAACAGGAATCACGTGAACTCGTCTGATGAGATGGGGACAGAATATTAAACCAGCACCAAAGATGGCAGTCGTCCACTCTCTGCCCTCTGTTTTTGCTCAGTGAGCTCATCAACGAAAACGACACGTCCAAATCAAGACTGCAGGAGAGAGCTGGGGTTCTTCCCATCTAATCTGTGCTTCTCATAAATCATAATACTTTCTTAATGCAGATAAAAGTTACCCCAAAATCTGTACCAAGAATTTTTTTATTTTTTTACATTCTGTGGCTGGAGGAAGACTCCAGACTTCCTCTCTCGTGTCTGTGTCCTCATCTTGTCATCGAGCTATTTCTGTGCCTGGCCGACCTGAAACCTGACTCTGGGAATGTAATTGCCACAGATCATATGTTGAGTGGATCCATCATTGAGTTAGAACCGATGCTGTTATGTTTGTGTTCAGCCAGCTGGGTTTTATACAACTCACTCACAGGCCTCTTTAGAGTCACTATTCAATTTACCAACATTTTGAATGCAGAGAAAGATATGCACTGTAAATGTTTCTCTTAAAAACCTCACAGCTTGGTAACCAACTCAAACACATGGAAACTTATTAGTCAGTACCATTCCTGCTGAAAAATTACATATATGTGCTAGCAACTTTTTAATGCTTTTATATTGATTTGTGGTTCTCCTGTACCTTTAAAAGCTCTCCCCTCTTGCTTGTGTGTGTGTATATACCTTACTCTATTTTGTTTTGTAAATCTGCTGCACTTTGCAGATTTCACAGCCTTCCATCTAGTTTCTCAGGGTAAACAAGCTTTTGTGTTTAGTCTGTTGTTTGTTATTGACATGTCTCCACACACTGTAAAGCGTCTGGATTTTATACTGCAGTAGTATTATGTTACTTTAACCTTTAACCACTTCTTAGAATTAATTAGTTTTGTTTTTTTTTCACTGAAAGGGAAAATTGAAAGGACAAAACTAAACCAACTACTGGGATTAAAAAAAAAGAAGAAATAATTGTCTATTTTAATCTCAAAGCTTTTTCTTTGCTTTCATAGAAGGTTTATTGAAGCACTGGTGTTGCTTCAATATGAATCCTCTTCTGCCCTCTGGGCAAAACACTTCTTCTCAATAGCTGCATTTCCATTACATACGTGCACAAAACTTTGTCACTACTAAAGTCCCACTAAAGTCCCCCCAAAAAATCCAACTTCGCAATTGTTGTGCTGTGAGGGAATACAATTGTTCATGCCACATCATGATCCTCAAACTACTTCCTGTCTTCTTCTTCTTCTTCTTCTTTGTGGTTTGCACCAGTGGAGATGTGCGGTCGTTGATCATGTGACTCATGACGCGAAAAAAGTGTTTCTATTACAGTTTTGTGAAATAAACCAATTTCGATACAGCCAAAAAACAATCATCCTAGCACCAAAATGTTTGATCAAAAAACGAGAACTGTTTTGAAATCGCCGTGTTTCCAATAAGCAAATTTACTTTCGAATTGTGAAATTGCTCAATTTTATGGTGTATATCTCCTGTATATCTCCTTTATTGTCTACAGGAAATATATATCAAATCTCTTATAGCTGAGCTACAGCTCACAGACTTAAGATACCCACAGCAAAAGACAATTAAGTTCCATTTAGTTCAAAACTAATTCCCACCTGATGGCTCACAGCAGTTGTTCAGTACTTACCAATCTGGATGTAGACAGAGCTGGACTGTGGAGCGGTGAGCGTTGAGAGAGAAGCCAAACACTCCACTCTTGCGCTCCTGCTGGCCGTGAGCCGGACAGTACTGGTGGAGTTGAAGGAATCCCCATCAGGTGTGCTGGTGGTGTTGTAGAGGCTGCTGTTCACAACCTGACCGTTTTGGGTCCAGCTGACGGTTGGAGCAGGAAACCAAGCAGTGGTTACGCACTCTAGCTCAACCTCCCCGCCTTGCATCACCGTCACATTCCCACCTGGGATGCTGACTGTTCCACTCTCTGATAAAAAGAAATACGGTTTAGACTGAAGCACCCAAGCACATTTGTTAGAAATCAAATATTTGATTATTTGATGCATTTATTTTAGCTTAACATGAAAAAACGGGATGTGAGATGAGGTAGAGATATAGGTTTGTAAGAATCCTTTCAATTTGCTTCAGTCCATCTTTAGACTGTAAACGTTTGGGTGCTTGGTGTCATAATATGAATGATATATATTATATGAATGCACATTGGCATTAATATAATGAAATGTTTCCAGATTTCTTTAACAATTTGATTATTTTACTCGGGAACTTAAAGATCCTTTCCAAATTGTCTTTGGAAAATATTTCTCAACTATTCAGTTCATTTTTAGACCAATTTTTTTACAAAGCCTTTTTTTTAAGAAAAACGTACCCAACCTCACATTTATCTGTTCACTTGCATCAAATGTGTCAAACTCAAGGCCCGGGAGCCAAATCCAGATTTTAAAAGAACCTTCAAACAACAGCTGTGTGCTTAAATATTTTTTAATCAATCAAATCCCAGTAGTTCTTGCACTGCAAAACAACATCAATGTGAAAAGGGGTTTAATTTGACTTACTTATAAGACTGCAGAGCCAGATGGTATTTTTAGTTGAACGGGTTTTGTTTTAGGATATTTACGGTCTTGATGTTGCCCAAAATGAAAATTAGTTCTAAATCTGAGTTTGACACCCCAGACTTAGATTATTGCACATAAGATATAATAACTTATAACGTGATATCAATTTAATTCAACTTTCTTTTGTTTCTTTAAAAACATTCATTCCGAGGCTGTCGCATGTTCAGGATTATTGGATGGTTTCTTTAAAAAATATATAAAAATAGTGCTAAATAAAATACCACTTTCACTGCAGTAGTTTGTCTTTTGTGTTTTATTCTGGGTTTAACTACTTTTGATACCTTTGATGATACATAAACAAACGTTTGTGTAAGAAGTGCATCAGACGTGGAAAATTGCTCATTCCTGACCTCTACAGCATACCACAGGAACTACAAGACGTCTGCAGCTTCATCTGTCATTTCTAAATTCAGGACTGAACGTCAAATATAGATTTTACACCCTCACCTTGTACATAAAGCTGGGCTGTCGCTGGTTGATGACCTTGTACACTACACACAACTTCCCCAGCATCAGCGCGGGTGACATTATGGATGGTAAACTCCACACAACTTCTGCTGGTATCGAAGCAGAATCTGGCAGAAAATCTGTCCGCCGATGGGATTATGTTATCTGTTGAGTTGACAATTGTGAGGACTTGAATCCCTCCGACTCCCCAGTTTGTGACCTCCCAGTCTCCCTGAATGGTGGCGGTAAACTGGACATCAGAATCTCGCAGCGCCGTTGAGTTCAGAGGCTCCAGTTGGACCTTCTGTGACATCACTGGGTACAAGACAGAGAAATCAGACAACCTGAATTTCATCTTAATGTAAAAGCAGCTGCTGATATAAATTCCATATTTGTCAGCTGGATAGTAAATGAATTTTTCACCAAAATGTATTCTGTTACATTTAGCTCTAGACAGTGACAAAAACACTTGTTTTTTTTTTTAATTATTATTATTATTTTATTAAATTCATACTGCAATATTGTTACAATCCTAAAATAATGGCCTAAGAGATTTTTTTGTTTTTGGCAAAAATTATATTTGCACAAAAAGGAAAAAACAAATCAATAAATCACCACCTGTATTCTGCCAAGAGATAATTTTTGCAAAAACAAAATAAATTAAAATAATAGGGCAAAACATGATTTAGGCCACTATTTTAGGAAGGTGACTATACACTAGATTGTCTAGCAGGTAAAAGCAGCTGCATTTTTGTGAAACTGTTTAGTGAATAGCAAAATTAACAATGTACATTTAAGGATGAACTAATTTAGAAATGGTTGGAATTTACTTCGATTAAAATGTATTTTTAAGAGCAATGTTACTGACAGTTGTTTGGTGACGATAGTGAAATTCTTTTATGTTTTCAGAGTCATTATTGTAAATGTTCGGTCAGAGAATGGAGTCAGGAAACAGGCGGCATCAGAACAAGGAATGCTGCTTTGTTTACACTTGTGCTTGAAGAAAGTTGGTGTTTGTCGTGTGAATTTAGCAAATAATTTTGCTTTGTTAGCATTTGAATGGACTGAAAGTCAAACACAAAGTAATTCTGAAAACCATTTGTCCTGCATTGATGTCAGGTTGAGAAATATTTCCTATTTATAGGAGAACTTCCTCGAAGGAGCTTATTAAAAATAACTTGTAAAACTAATGCTTGGTTGGAAATGATGTTTTGTGTGTTTTTAGTCTTGATGGTCACATTCACTGTCAAATAGTTTTCACTGGAGAAAAATATTTCTATCACACATCCCTCTTTCTCTTTGTGTTCTTTGTTTTTTTTATACTTTTTACAGTCAAGATCTCCAAAAGACAAATGCAACCACACAATTTATACATTTTTAAATACATAAAATAAAAACACTGACCTCTGCTTTGTAGTAAACAAACGGACATAAGGCCAAACCATATTTTCCAGGAAGTCATCATTACAGTGTTGAATCTCTAAAGAATAAAACAACACATAAATCAATGTAATGACGGGAACGTAGATGAATCTGAACCTTAGAATATAACATAATAAAATACAATGTAACACCAAATATTTTTTTTTAAATCATGCATTCATAGAAAGTACGTCAAACTACAGGTGATACATCAAGCTGTCCACTGCACTTGGTTGGGAAAACAACTCTTAACGTCTGATACGTTTTCACTGTTGATACACTGGGCAAAAAAGATCAAATAAAATCCATACAAAGAGAGGATTTGATATTTTTCTGCTCTAAAGAATTGATCTGACATTTCATTTAAAATGAAAGCAACACAAAGTCTGTAACATCCGGCTGCCATCTCACAATACCGTACCATCAAAATGTTCTCGCGTCCTAAACTGAAGTCAGTTTAACTGCTGCATTTCTGTTTATTTTATCCATGTATTAATCATTTTTGAAGTCTCAGAGTAAAAAAAAAAAAAAAAAAAAAACGTACCAAAAGTTTGATTTTTCCACAATTCACATTTGATCGACTTACACAGTTCCTGCCGTAGACGGTGCTGCAGATCAGACCTGCATTTCCTGGACTAACAGGTGGGACTCAAACTGACACAGGAAACAAAGTCCAACCTTGGTTTCTGAAAGCCAACCCTTCTCTGCTCTCCACACACGTCACTGAGTCATAAAGCCTCCAATGTTTCACCTGAAGACACACCTGACTGGTGAAGTTGAGTTGTGACAAAAGACAAGAAATTAAGTGTTGCAACTGAGGTTAAGATCAGGTTTGACATTCTTATTAAGTTGCTTGCCAACAAGAAGACTTATTTTTGTTTTTCAACTTTTCTTTTAGCAAATGGATGTGGAATATCTAGAATAATCTTGATGAAAGGGAATTAAACAATTAAAAAGAAAGGTCCAGAATGGATCAGTCAGAAACTTTTATTGCCTCGACGATTACAAATATGCAGGGTTCAGCACTACTATCTAGATTAGAAGTCTAGATAATACATCCAATATTAATACCCCTTTATTCATTAAATTACAACAAAATATATATGTTAGAAGAGATTATTGCAATTAAACTCATTAGCTTCATTAGTAAGATAGCTTCAAATCCTAAGTTAAAAAGATATTAAGAGTTCTTCATCCAAATACCAAATGTTCATCCATACGCCAGATTTGTTATTTATTTATGTATTTGTGATCATGGCTGTAGGTGAGGGGGTAAAACAGCATTATTAAAGAATAGAGAGGAGACAGAAAGTTGGTTTCCATACCTCCCAGAATTACCTCCTTCCTGGATATCACCTCTGAACACTGATAAAACTGACCACTAGGGGTCAGTGTAAGATAACTAAAACATCACAAAGGATCTTAAATTTGAGAGGGCTTCCATTTTGAGCTGTTCTGGCTTGACACATTTTAAATGATACATTTTGACATTAAACATTCATTCTCATTTCTATCCATATACATACTAAAAGATTAAGTAATAATGCATTGAAAACAGAGATGGAGTAACTTTTATAATAATAATAATAAAATGAATAATAATAATAATTCACTTACCTACGTTTTGCTTATTACTGTGTTTAATGAACAGGCTAAGATGTTCAAAACAAAATAATAATGTATTTCTCTGCATATTATCCGCTGAAAAGCTAAATAAACTTTTCACAAATAACCGTTTCACAGTACTGTGTGTGCCAGATTTACTGTGACACAAATGATCAAAAGTATAACTAATTTGGATGTTTGCGGTGATCATTTTTCAGCTGGAGCCCAGCTTTGTTGAGAAACCTCTACTTTTATTGTTGTGATTCAAAATTTCAGGGGACTTTCAGGTTTTCTTATTCAAATAAGATCTAAAATTTTTGAAGTTATGAGTTCAAAGGTGACTCATAAGCAACACCTAATAAATTTCTCTGGTTTCCCAGCTAGCGACTTGAACACAATTAAGTTGGGGAAGATGCCATTCCTACTGGAATGTACTGGTCCATACAAGACAATGAAAATTAGACATTTGCTTCAAATATGGAATCAATTATGCATTATCAACATAGTAACTATATCTTGTTTAAAGCCAAAAATTATTTCATTCAAAAGTTTAAAACATCATTTAAGAAGTTATCACTGCATATCAATATGAGAAACAATCACTGCTATTATCAGTGTTGTTGTTACTATTTAATAAAGTTGTCAATTATTACTGCATTATGGCATATTGACTTAGAAAGAATCTCATGTTAAAATGATTGATGTTTGCTCACACTGGAATTCAAACGAATGCATTGTACCAGTTATAGAAATAGATGTAGAAAATACTAATTATTCTCTATACAACCAAGTTAACGTGAATAGTAATTTATTGGATGATGGTATAGATGAAAGTAAAAATAAATTTATACTTCTATCCACTCCTTTTGAACCTGTAAGTTCCTATTGTTCTTCTTTTGCTTTAAGTTTATTTTTTGTGTATGTATATTTTTGTTTATCCTTTTATTAGACAATGTCCAATAAAGTCACACTCAAGAATTCCAACAGTTTTTGTTTTTTTCTAACTGGAGAAAAGGATTTTTGTAAAAATGAACTGAAACTAGAGAGTTAGTGACCAGTAAAAGTTGTCCCTTGGCCTGCTCAATGTTCAGCTTCTAGGCTCCATGGGCGCCATTTTATGAGTGTGGCTGTATGGCACACAGTGGAATGTCTCCAGACACAGCTTGTATTGTATAGGCAGAATCTGTCAGACAACCATGAGAAACAGGAAGAAGATAATGGGGGGAGGGGAGGGGTCAGGGCTCAGATCCCACCGCACAAGGCCAGCAGTGGAAGCAATATGGAGGCCCCCCTCTGTCACCAGAGCCTCTCTGTCAGGGATCATCAGTCATAATGCATGCCACGCGCTCTCAGGGCGCTTGACTTAATTATGCCCTTTGTCTCACTGTACTGAGCACAACTGGAGAACAGCTCCGTTTAATTGCGCCCCTTCTCCCGGAGAAAACGACGTGACTTTAACGGCGGACGCGTCGCCAACAATAAAACTGCGAAAAGTCTGGAGCGTGCATCAATCGCTATTGTTGGATTTGCTTTTGTTATGTCAGCTGCCGCCTCATTAATGGTTAAAGCCGACTAAGGTTTATTGTTACTGAGCTTATTAGGCCTTGTTGCCTTCGGGGGCGAGCCTCCGCCCTCCCTGACATGTAAATGACTGTTAAGGGCAGGTCAGAAGCACACTTCTACTCACACCTTTTAAAAGCTTGGAAGAACAAATTCTCACCTTTGTAAAATAATGGTCCAAATCTCTCTTTATTTTATTTTATTTTGTCCAATTCATCTTTTGGTAAAAAAAAAAAAAAAAGGTGGTGATTTCCCCCCACCCCCAAAAGAATTACTTTTGGCAATTATTATACTTATTATTATAACTTAGGCCGTTATTATACAAACTTGACGAAATGTAACCAATTTGTTGTCCTGAGAAAAGGGTTAAATTTTCTAAGATTCTTGTTTTATTTTTTATTTTACAGTAACCAAACTCATTTTGTCAACTTTTTGAGGATAAATATTTGAATCATCTTCTGTTTTTTTTTTTTACTTTTCTCAAAAATTTTTTAAGGCAGTCGCACAAATGGACCGTCCAGATTCTAAGTTCAGGCAACAATATCCTTCCTCTCTCATGGACGAGTATATTATAGCTTCGCCTGCTGCTCCATACGGGACAGCTGCCATTCGCTGCATGGGAGAAATCCACTTAGTAACAGGGGAGAGACTAAGCTTTTCCTTACATCCATTCACTCGTCTCCTGTCTGCACCACTCAAATGGCTTTACAGGTGGAAGCAAACAGAAATGCCTGTTGTGGGTTTTTTTGCACAGCACGCAGCACAGAGTCACCAGTTCCCTCTCATTAACACAAAAACTTAAGACGGTAAACCACTAGAGGAAGATTCATGAATAGGTTGCCCTCTGTCAAAGAGGCTTTAGATGAGGTCACCTTTACCTTCATCCCGTCACCTCCCTGGGGGATTATGCCAACGCCTGTGTGCTGGTTATTGCACAGGAACACTGCTCATTGTTTCTTCTAATCACACAGACCTACCCTAGGAGTTTGAAATGAAAGCTAGTATCACTAAGTTAGCTTCTACCCTGGCCTGTCAATTCATTTTGCAGGTCAGATTGGAAAGCGTCCAAATTAATAATCTACGCACTGAAGGTCTGCGGACTTCTGCAAGAAGGAAAGGAGGGAAGTCAGATCTCCAGGCAGGAGCCGTTATGGAAAGAATCCATAGTGAACACAACCGCATTATAACCTGTTACACAATCATTGCCGTTTTTTCCTCCCTCTGGTGTCTATACAGAGGAATTCCCACAGACAGATGTAACTCAATCTGCTGGGCTATTTATAGGACTATTTTACAAGTTTCTTCACAGTGCAGCTACAGTATGGGTGTTTTTGTTTAACTTTCACTCGACATAAGTGCTTTATTTTTCTTTTTTATCTATCAGGCAAGCATTGACCGGCAGCATGCTGTAAAGTTGCACAAAGGTTCACAGCTGAATTTAGAATCCAGAAACTTTATTTTTTCTCTTTTACTCTGCTTGCTAGATTATTTTTATTGTGGCAACAAAAGCGCAAATTGTGTTAACTTCTTGTTTGTGGTTGCTGTCATGCTGGGAGATGAATTTAAGCTAAGTCTTTTGAAACCCTTTGAAAGGTTTAATTCCAGTATTGCCATATGTTTACAGTAGCTCTACCCATGCTGCCCACAGCATGATGCTGCCACCACCATTGTTCACTATGCGGCTTGTAAGTTCAGTGTTGGTTTTACATCATACATCAAACTTTTCCCAATTTTGTCAAGGTACGTCAATAAACTTCTATATTTTGTTAGATTTAACGTGACAGAAAAAAAAAGCAGCGCATTATTGTGATGCATGCGTTTTCAAATGTTTTGCAACCTAACTGCAGCTCTCTCCCACAACTCCCCAACTCAGCTCCTTCAGACTAGCCAGCAGCAGTTAGCAACGCTGGTGGAACTGCATATCTGCTGAGCTCATTAATCAAGATACTTCTGAGTTCAACACTGGTACAAACATTACCAGTGTTAATAGAGATGCACTGTTGTGATGACTTCCTGAAGGAGGCATTTCAGAAAGAGCAGGAGTTTTTAAACAGACAGAGGCTCATTTTCAATGTGTTAAATTAGAAAATAACATTTTGTTTAAGTCATATTTGATATATAGTAGTTGTATAACTAACAAAGTTAACATACTTACTTAATTATGCTAAAAAATGGTGCACTGAAACTGGAAAACACATAATACAACTTTAATATTTTCTCTGACCAAAGCTCATTTTTCCTCATGTGGTTGATGTGTACCCATCACAATTCATATTCAAAAAATACATATATACAAAAGTTATTTTTTCCCCTATGGACAGATTTGTAGCGAGCACAATTAATCAGAACAAATTCTTTCACCTGAGCAGTGGATGTCAGCTCTTCTGGAGTTACCATGGGCCTCTTGGCTGCTTCCTTGATAAATGTTCTTCTCCTCGCTGGGCCTCTCTGCTGCAGCCATGCCTTGACTGGTTCTGCCATGATCTTAAATTTGGACGTATCACAGGACCCTAGATTTATAATAAGATTAAGACAAACAACGTTGGAATCTATTCATCAATAATTATGTGCCTGTTGAAGACAGTTTCTGTACTGGTTTTAGTGGAATCAGAATAATACTGTGAACAACAAACTTCCACAAAACTGCAAAACTGCTGAAACACAGCTAAACCCCCACCTGTTTGGAGTTGCTTTTGAACAATAAATGGAACATTCACCAACATATTTGATGTGTACTTTATAATATAAAGCACTATGAACTTCCTTGTTGCTGAGATGTGTTATACAAATAAGCTTCAAGTAAACTTCTTTTGATCATTTCTCTCTAGCTAAGAGAGCTGCAGCGAAGTCGGAAAGAGCCGATTGTGAAAAAAAAAAAAAGAAAACCAGTCATAATGTGCACACAAGAGGTTGATATGAGAAGTATGAGGAGGTTCAAATAGTCAAAAGCATCTAAACTGGGCCGGTTTGCTCTGGGCTGATTTCAAAAAGTTCCTCAAAACTTTATTATGCAATGAAAGAGAGAAAAACCGATGAAGAATCTTGAGTGCCTGGTGCGCTTTACTCACTTTTTTTGGCGAAATGTCGCCTGTAACTATTCCTCCTCCAATGAGTTTACCCTTCAACACTTTCTGGTGCATAAATGTGCAATGATCTTTATGCAAGCATTAATTATGTGCGCTTATCTGTTTATAAACATTAGGAGTGCATAAAATAATCAACCAGCTACAAGTGATCAGGATTTCGAAAACGTAATATAAAATGCATTGCACTTGATTTTTAATTTTATATAGATTAGGGGAATGTAAAAGTCAACAATCAGGATGCTGCTGTTTAACTCATAGAAAGTGAGTGAATGTCTGTCATGGAACGTGTTAAAAGCATAACGCACTCGTTTCCACTGAAGTCATGTTTGGACACTGTACACACCCTGCAGTAAGCGACTCCAAGAACACATGACAAGCAGGTTGCACAAGCACACACACGCTCGCGCACACACACACACACACACGCACCAGGAACTGTACCAACATGCATCGTGTCGCCATTTTCCCAACCTCAACTGCTTGCCCAGGATTCTCGGTCAAGGGAGTACACACCCCTCTCTGAGTTTTGTAAACGGACACATGCCAATAAATGTGTTCAAAGTCCGCTGCTGCATGAGGAAGAACGGGTTTGGTGTCACAGACATTCTTGGAAAACGTCCCTTGACGTGTTACAAGGGGAAGCGAGTATCTTTTTTCGACGCGGTTGAATGGAGCTTTAATAATTTTGCCTTGTTATGGCAGACGGCTGCACAGAGACACATAGCATGTCTGTTGACTGGCATGTGACGTGTCCACACAGGTAAGAGCACAGATTTCAAATCGTGCAGTTCCCCACCTTGTCGTCCAATCAGCGCGCAGAAGGGGCGGGGTTTGACGCCGTCAATCATGCAGGAAGCGAAAGGGTTTGAATAGGGAGGGAGGGGGAGAATCCAATCCGGTTTGAGCTGGTTTTTCCTTCCAATGGAACAGTAAAGTCTCGCTGCGCTGTATTAGACTGTATTGGCACAGCTTTATCCAGAATATACCACTGTATTTTCTGTTTAATTTACTTTAATTCGGCTATTTTTTCCCCTTTTTTTTAGTTTAAAAAAAAACTCCCCACACAAACCAACAATGCCTAAAAGGAGCAAAGTGAGTAGACTGATATCTTTCATCCATTTAGTAATAAGGCTTTATTACAACACACTGTTGCAATTGTGAATTCAGCTGGTTTCGCGTTAGCTTCAGAGCTGTTAAAATACTGTTGCAAATGCGTGTTTGGTGCACGGAGCAAAGGCGCTTGTAAAACTGCAGTTTCGTTTGTGTGTAGAGGTTGCTTCTCTTGCATGGCTTGTTGTTCCGACGCGCAGTGATTATCTTCATGCGAAGTGATTCGCTTATCTTTCTCTCGATTTACAAAGTGTACTCATGCCTTAACAGAATGTGCTGCTCCAGAGCTTGGAGCAGCACCGCTTTAATCCTTCTTGTTGTCAGAAAGAGCTGGGCTCGGGCTGCTGTGTTTGCTGGACAGCGTTTCTGCAGAGAAAGTTGGCGGCATATCGATTGTTTTCTCGGGGGGTCGACACGCTGGAAGCCAAAGTTTAATGGAGGGAAAACGACAGAATGATTAAAAGTGGGGGGGAAAGGGGGAGGGGGAGGAAATCGCGTGCGTCTGATTGGGTTAGCTCGATAACCGTTGGGGGTTATTTTGTTGCGAACTTTTTTTTTTATACAACTAAAAGCCGTAAATCGACTTTTAATTCGACAATAAAACCGTCACCGGTTTGCCCGTTCGAGTGTTAACGTGTGGCCGCCCTAATTTCTCCGAGAAAACTAACGTGCAGTCGGCATTCGTCGTGTTAACGGAGCGCTTCCCTGTGTTCAGGACGGCTCAGGCCACTCGGAGGTTATGCAATGGCGAGCCTCCGTCATCGTAGCGCCGCTCCTGTTGCTGGGGGTTCTAGCATATTCTGCTAGCAAGCAGACCGATGGAGTTACTGAGCATCGCTGACTCTTTTCAAACTCCTGGCGGGAACGCTCTCGCCGCCGCTCAGTTCAGCCACAGTCCCATTTATCACTAGAGAAAAGATGGAGGCGGAGTCCTCCCTCTCCCTCCTTGCCGGAATTGCCGTAGGCAGCGACGAGCGCCACCGCGCGACGAAAAATGTCAACTTCGAACTCCTCCACACTTCAGTGTTTCTCGCTTCGCACTTTTCACGGGCTACCTTTCGCTGTTCATGCTGCGTTTGATTGGCGTCGGAATCTGAAAATGACGTCATGTCCAAAGCGACCCGCGTAGCGGAAAACCTGTGAAGATTTGTGCTTTGAAATGGTGTTACTCGTTAGCAATATGGGAAAAAACATTGATTTATTCACTTCAATAAGCCATACTGTATTTCCTACTTGAAAATCGAAAATCCGCCTTTGAATACACATCGAACGCACCGCATTTTAGATTTACAAATCAATCCAAGATGCACGAATCACACTTTTACTGGCTGATGTTGATTTTGGTTTACCTGCTGCAGTTTTGTTGCTTTTGATTTGCTTCAGTGATAAAATACAACAATTTTCAGCCACTATCACCAAAAGTTATATAAAGGCAGGATGCTGTACATCCTGCCTTTATCTAATTGTCAACTCAAAGCAAAGTGCATAAAAGCTAATTGCACTTGATCATGAGTTTACATACATCAAGGAAGAGCTTTGATTTTTTTTTTTATCATCAATTTGGTATGAACACGAAGCGATTGAAGGGTTATTACATTCAAGAATACTTTATTAATCCCAAAGGAAAGCAAGATCTTAATTTTAAGCGATTTACAGCCAGCGGTCGTCTTTAGATTATTATTTTATTTTTTGATCTGCGTGCCTTGGTGATCATTTTAAGGCACATGTGTTATAAGAGTCTCACATAGGGCTGAAAGGAGATGTTGTCCTCATCTTTAATGAAGAATTAATGCAGATATTCTAAATATTCACATCTTCCAAGCAGCCACTGAAAATAAATGTGACTAAAAGTTTTTATTCTTTTCACTCTCTTCCCTCACAGGCAGCATCAGGAGGCGACTCAGCGGTAAGAATAAATCCTGAATAAGAATAAACACAATTTGATGAAGGACATAAAATGTTTGGAGGGGGGATAAAAATACTGAAAGTTTGAAACGGTTTACTGACCCCACCCAGTAGGGGTCAGTAGCAACCCAGTTTGTCAAGTCATTTGTTCTGCAAGAATGTTAAAAGTAATCAAACTGTGTGTTCTGTCCACAGCCTAAGAGGAGATCTCTTAGGTTGAAAGATGTAAGTGCAGAAAAGCGCATCGTCTCTCTCTTAAAATGTTTATGGTTGACAGTGCTTCAGTTAAATGTTTTACATATTTCTTTTCGCAGAAACCTGCACCTGCAAAAGCAGAGGCCAAACCCAAGCCAAAGGTAAGATTAGAATTTTTTTCTTTTGCTTCTATGGGTAGGTGCCATTAATTCAAAGTAGCTGATTTGATGATGCTTTCTTTTGTAGAAGGGACCTGTGAAGGCCAAGAAAGCCAAGGAGGTGGAAAAGGCCAAGCCTGAGGAAAAAGCACCGGAGGCCCCAGCTGAAAACGGTGAAGCCAAAGCTGAGGAAGAGGTGAGGGTTTAAACTTCATCGGCAAAACGCATTTCCTCTCGTCTGGGATGTTTCTAATCCGCATGTTCTGTATTTCCAGGCTCCCGCTACGAACGCAGCCGATCAAAAAGATGAGGCAGCTGAATAACATCACTCCAGCTCTGTCTTACACCAGTGCTCCCTGTACCTCTTTTCTTGTACAATTCAGGGGAATATTTTTATCGACTATTTTCTAAATACAGGTTTTTTAGTAGTTTGATTGTAGAGAACACTTTTTTTTAAAAACAAAAATCACCAATTTGGACACAGGGAAAAAAAAAGAAGAAGACAAAAAGAAAACCAAACTCATCAAGCCCCACAATTTTGCATCAGTGTAAATTTTGCGGTTGTCGTTACTGTTGGAGGATTTTATTTCAGTTTTAAATGTGAAGGAGGGGAGGGTGTGGGGTGGGTTCGTGCGTCAAACATGGAAGCTTGACGAGCGGGGGTCGGGGGTAACAACTGGAAGAGCTTACCTGTGTGGAGTACATTCCATGAGCTTTATAAGGGACGGCTTGTAGCGTGTGCTTGGGGAGGGGGTGGATGTCACCGTACAACTCATTGTTTTCTTGTTTATATTGAAGAACAGTGTTTTAGAATGTTTGTAAGTTTTTTTTTTTCCTATTTGGTTATTCTTGTATTCATGCAGTTTTCTTAACCAATCTAATCAATAAATCCTAATATTCCTAGTTCTGCAGCTCTCCCATTTGAAACGTGCATCGCATGTGTTGTGTCTGTCGTGTGATAGCATCGCAATAAATTTGTATAGCTGCTGTGAAGACTTCTCAATCCGCAGTGTGTAACGGTACGTTGTAAGGGTGGCGAAAAACGAATTTGTTCTTAGCCATGCTAAAATAGGATTTACGTTGACAAAACTACCGAGGTTGGCTTCTCTAAAGCCAACAGACAAACTGTACTTTCACACCAACAGTAGCCATATTTCTGTGGTTTTAGGTGTCTGTATCAAAATCCACATGTGCAGTTTTTTTATTATTATTATTATTTGTCTAGAGTTGTACTTGTGTGATAATTGTTAAACCAATAAAACTCAGTTGGTAGCTGTTATGCTGTTTCATTCCACACAGTTGATGCGAATTGCAGCAGTGAAAAAGAGCCACAATATAAAGCTCGTCTCCTTTAAAAAAATGAATTTTGAACTTAGCCGTAGCATTTAAGAGTTACGTATTATCAAAGGGAAAAGATTTGAGTGAAATATGTGGAGTCCAAATTCTGCACTTTTATTTTTGTGTGTTTTCTTTGTAAGTAAAATAGGAATCTCAGCACTTTTGGTATCATTTCCTATTGTTTGGGTGCATTTACTAAAGAAAAGTATCACTCCTATGCTTAAGAAAACCATATCTTGTTGGTAAAATTGTCACACTGACTATAATTAAGGGTTAGAGTGGTGCTTTTGCAAAGAAAATTATGAGAAGCCCATTTCAGAACCATGGACAGCTCCAGAGCAGCTTGCAGCTTCAATAACTGCTTCTCTTTTTGATGAATTGTTGTTTTCCATGGTATCACTAATTACATAAGGATTCAGTCAGAGTAAACAAAAGATGTTTATCCTTTTTCTGTCTTCCACTTTAGTATTCTGAGAGTAATTCAATCTAATTCAAGATTTCAACACTCCATCTGTTCTCTGTACTCACTTATCCTTTGCAGGTTCTCAGGAAGGCTAGTGTCTTTATTTTCTCATACTTAATGAAACCTGGAAAACACTCATTTTTTCTGATTGCGTACAAATCCCTGCAAATGAAAGGCAACGGTTTTATGTTTATGAGGAAAAATGGAAAACAAATATTTAAAAATACAGATGAATAAAAGACTAGACATTTTGACTTAAAAAAATATGTTTATCCCAACTTTATTGTACCATCACAGAAAGACTGAAAGAATCTATGGGAAACTTAGATTTTGAGATGAGTAGACCACCACAGAGTGACACCCGTTCATTAATAAACTGAAATAATGAAGTTTTCTGGGGTCAATTTAGCTGTTCTGAGCCAACATGCTTTGTTTCACAAAATAGGGATATTCAAGTATCATCTAACAAGAAAAACTAAATTAAATCAAATGTTTTCCATGAATAGGTAGATGAATTTATTTTGCATTTTGTCAATATATTGACATTTACTACAGATTTTCTCTAAAAACTAAAGAGACATGATTAAATACCCCAGTATTGATGTTTGGTAAAATATTTCTTAGCAAGGCTCCCTTTAAACATGCTTTTGGTAGCCGTCAACCCAGTTCTGGTTCCGATTGCATTTTTGATGCGGCATTTGGTGGAGCTCTTTAAAATTGACTGGTTTCATGACAAAACCCAGCCATTGAATGTAATTCATGTTGAGGTAGGGGCTTTGGGAAAGCTGTTCAAGAACATCACATTTTGCTTTGCTTTAATTATTCAAGCCCTAATTATTCCCACAAAAAGCTTTCATGAATCATTGTTCAAGTTTTACATTCCTGGTTCAAGGGGTTCAAACTTCCGGTGCCAGTTTCAGACACTTTGCTAGGCCAACATCCCCAAGAGACCCACTAATGACCTACTTTTTTCACGCAGAAGTTTTGAAGGAGAGACATAAATGTCTCTTTATAAATGTTGTACGACACAAACCTCCCCATAGACTACAATTCTACATTCCTGGACGAACTGTGGAAAGAACTTAGAGGTTAGCCGTAAATAATTTTTATCCAGTTCAGGGGTAACAACAACTAACAGTTATCTTAGTAATCATTTATTCTGATGAGTAATCAAATTTTTAAAAAAGGCACCTTCTGTAGATTTTTTATTTAACCACTTAAGCCTTTGTAATACAGTGCTAGAGACACATTAAAAGATCTAAATAAATAAATAATTCAGTTCCTTTTTTAAGTAAGAAAATAAACATCTTATTGGCTAAAAGGGAATAACAGAATTCCTTTATTAAAGCTAAACCCAGTGAAGCTAAATATAAAAGCTGAAGAGTTTTGGCTAGCATATTTTTACAGACATGTATATATAAATATAAAAAGCACGGTTTTGGCTTACCTACTGCTTTAATTGTTTAGTTACCATATTTGTCCAATTACTCAGTGAACGATTATTTCAATATTTGACTCATTGCTACTAATGTGATGAATCCAGTAATTGTTTCAGCCATAATCCACTTATTGCATTGTACTGCTGCCAGTAAAACAGACACACAGAATGACTCTAGCACCACCGTGCTTCACAGTATCCTTAGGTTTGAGAAGCTGCAAATTTCAGTCAAGCTAGAACGGGTCAGTTTCGGCTCAGGCCCCCTGGTTTTCTTCGTGTTTTGTAGATCTCATTGCAGTTGAACATTATTCATTCATTTCACCAAATAAATCAGTGAAAGCCCCAGATTAATGTGACATTCATCACCACAATGGATCTAAACATTCGACTGAAACTTTCGATGGTGTACAGCCACATTCTTTACGTAATTAATGTAGTGAACAGCGAAAATGATTCATCTTGAGAAAGAAAACAACACATCAGTGAAGACATTCATGCTAGAGTGGCTTCCTTCAGAATGCATCATACGTCCAGAGATCTGTCCAGAAGCTTGTGAATAAAAGTGATCGACTGCATGCTGGTGCTGGTGAAGATTAAATCTGTGTGACAATTTCATTACAAATATAAAGTGATTAAGTTGCAGCCCCCCTGGCCTGAGTACCTACATATTTATAATGGAAAGATTTTCAGATTAATTTGTGTCTGACCTTAGTTTGTTTCATAAAGCTCCTATTAAATCACTGTGCTGTACTGGGTGAATAGTTCGCCTCCCCAAAAATATGCACTAGTCCATTTTCTCTGCTATTCGTCCCATTTTGGTGCGCATGTTGCGCACAAGGAAGAACGCAATGGTGGTGATGCCCATTATGACTTCAGCTACCCAGAAAGCCGTGTCCCAGCTGTGCTGCTTGGCAACAGTGCTGAAGGGAAGCCCTGCCATGAAAGCCCCCACTGCGGCAAACACAAAGACACTTCAGTTACATGAACGACTTTCGTTAATATACGTCACTTCTGGTCAGGGGACCCAGCAGCTTACCGTTTGCCATCAGTGCGACGACGGCGTGAGACGTTCCACAGAAATTGGAAGGAGCACTTTCGCTTGCTATCACTCCGTACAAGGCGATTGGTCCATAAGAAGAAAACCCAAACATGGCACCAAGGAAGAGAATCCAAATCTGTCAGTGAAACCAACATTAGGAACTGATGTACCAAGTAAGCCTGTTGTATTTAATTCATCACAAATTAAAATTAGCTTGATCTTTTAAATTCTAATGATTAATATTTTTTGAAGGGTAAACTTGTTTAGAGACATCATAATTCATTTTATGTATAGTTTTAGTTTCAGATTTAAGTGTTTTTTTAATTCGGTTTAAATTATTGTTTTTGGTTGCTGTGTTTTGTTTTGGATATTTTAAATACCTCGCAGTTCCAGTGTTACATGTTCTTTATATGCGTTTGCTGGTCTTTGAGAGGGTCTCTGGCATTATCAATATATTACTTAAGAACTGTCTCAAAAACAACAATATTATTTATCACAACAACTTTTGGGACAATTTATTGTTCAGCAAAATGTGTTACTGTGACAGACTTAGTGACATACTGATGAAGACATACATCAAACACTTGCAGCCATGACGACATCAAAACGTGGCTTAACAAAGTATTAGCTTTGTGTTGATTGTACAAAACACGTTTTCAGATTTTTGATTGGTAAAAAATGGTTGAAAACCAGATAGTCCATGTAGCCTTGGTTTTTCTGAAGGTATGATCAAAAACTAGTCTGGAAAAAAACAGTCACTTCTATGCTTTACTTTGCACAGAGGGTCTGAACCCTGAGCTACTCAGAAACGATTACTTGCTGGAGGCGTGGATTCTATTTAATTTTCAAACAACTGGATGTGACTACCTACTCACTAACTTTTGGCCTTGACACTTGAAATTCTACTGGAGAAATTGAGTCTAATGAGCGAAATCCCAGTCAAGGCACTGAAAGGAAATGAGAATTGAGCAGAACTGCACAGTAAAGTTAATCATAAACACCTAAAGGTAAAACATTTCAGAATGCACCTCTTTCTCCGAGACTCCAAGTAGAACAGACACAGGGTGGATGACCTGGACCCACAAAGGAGCTTCCTGAGCAAAAAGATTTTTTCAAGCTGATTTGTGTTGATTATAAATATTTTAAAATTATGTCATCATGCATTATTAGACTTACCTTTGGTACTTCAGGTGTGATGGTCACTCTGAACAGATACATGGACACATACATGCCAGCCATCATGAGAATGAGCAGGCCATGTCGGGGGTTGCCATGAGTGCTCAAGCCTTTCTGAGGAAACACAACAGGAAGGTATTCAACAAGAGTAGCACTGAAAGCACAAGCCCCGTCGTTAGTGGTACTTACACGGGCTACGGCTCTATCTGAGATGAAACCTGCCGAGAGGCTGCCAACAAACCCCCCGACCTCCAGTGCACTCATGTAGGTGCTGCCTGTTGGCGACAGAGCGTCGGTCAGCACCAGTTAGGTTAAACCAACAATCAAAGGTGAGGTGAGAAATGGGGAAGCGCACCCATGAGAGCAGTTTGGCCTTTCTCCTGCATGAGGAACAGCTGCCCCCAGTCAGTGGCTGCCGTCTTCACCCCAAAAACAACCAAGTAGCCCAGAGAGAGGATCCACAAGAAGGGAGAGAGGAGAAATTCGCTCAGGGTGCTCTCACTGTTGCCTGCAGAGCATATAAAACAAGAGGTAAGCTCACTATAAAACATTACACCTTTTGGACGTCTCCATCTATATTCTATGGAAGTGTACTATGAGAGTAACACAAGTTGCGTTTCCATTAGCCAGAGAAATGCACAATTGAAATTACAAAAATACATTCACTTAACAAGGCAATTTTGAAAGAAATAAACATTTTTCTCTAAAACGTTATTGCATTGGATGAGGTGGTTTTCAACCTTACCGAAATAGATGTATATCATAAAGCTGCAACAGAAACTAATTTTTTGCATTATCGAATGCTACTTCTGGTGAAAACCATGAGGAAGATGACAGGAAGGAGCAAGAGGATCATGGTTTGTGTTTTTTTTGGATAATGAGCCGCTGGCTCCACCAGAGTTCTCACAGCGTCGCTCAGGGGATGAGCGCCGGAGCCAACGGTGGACTGTAAATATATCTCTTGTAAATCTTTACATGAAATATATTTACCATGATTTTTAATGACTCATCGAATGGAAAAGCTTATTCGTGTGTGATGCAATTTAATTTCTTATTAAAGGGAAACACCAGAATATTGACAAAAGATTTGCGCACATTTGTAAAGGAAAAACAGCTTCTTTGTTTTGCTTACCTCCTTTCACACCCTTCTTAGCTGCAGCTTCGATGCTGGGAAGGCCCACGTCCTTCGGCTCATTCTTTACGAATACCAGACAAACAAATGAGAAAGCAGCACAGAACACGCCAGACATGGCCAGAATCGTCCTCCAGTCGTAATACTGCAGGAGCACCGTGACCATGAGCGGACCTAGACTTCCAGCCAGGTTCATGCTGCAGGAGAGCACAGACCACCATGTTCCAAACTGGGACGGCTCATACCACTGGGGGGGAGGAGACACAGAGAGATGTTAACATCTCTTCAGATCTGACCTAGAACATTTATTTTTGAAGCAAACGTTGAAGTTAGGTGAAAAAATACTGAAGTTTAATACATGGCACCGGATAATTTGCTTCTTTACAACAATGGAGGAGGTTTGTCTGCAGGAATGCACCGCTCCCAGTCAAAAAAACAAACAAAAATAACAATAAAAATAATCAAATTCTGGAAGAGGGTTTTAGTGCCGTCAGTCATGCTCGTGTACGCAGTGCTTAATTAATGGTGGAGAAATGACTTGGCGTTACAAAAAAACTATTTATCCAGCATCATAGGTGACCATGCTAGCTAGCGTAAGTAATTATGGCAGGCCGCGTTATGGGAAACTATTTATAGGGTGTGAGCAGCATGTACACAAGGTTGAACAGCAGCACTAAGACCTTCCGCCTGGCTCTGATTGGTTGTTTATGGCTGAGCGGTATATTCCTCAATAGATGACAATTGTCATCTATTGTCAGATGACAATAGAATCATGAGAGAAGGCAGAAGAGCTCAATTTTTTTCACAGATCATTTGCTTCTTACTACATGATGCATGACATGATGTAGCAACAGTTTTAACAAATAGCATATTTCTATATTTTTCTATAAAAGTTATATACTGCAGCTTTAAAGGGACAGAACTGTGTAAAGCATGAGCTGTGCCTAAATGAAGATTGGCAAAAAAAAAATTCAATCTCTAAAGCTGCTGTGAATATAGTGAAATGTGTTCCTACGAAGTATTGTCATACATGATCTGCTGTTTAGATTAGATTTCCAACATAACCTGCCAAGAGTATAAATCACAGAAAGAACTGAACCTTTTTCCTTACACTGAAAACACAGGATTGAGCCTGAAATTGCCTCACTAAGTCACTAATCCCACTCCATACAACTAACCTTTGAACTGCGGGTTCAGGTACCAGTTCCTACAGGCTGCTACAGTGAAGCTATGCCCGTATGAAAACGGACAACATTATCCTAGCATCGACTTGCTAAGAAAATCAGAGCAGCTGTTGCTATCTAGCTAAAAGCGTCCTTCCTTGAACAGATTCACTATTTAAAAGGTAATTTTTTCTTTTATTTTGTTGCTGGGAGAGAAAAAGCAGGATGAAATAAGAGCCATATGCCCCCAGGCAGTAACTCAGTTAAAAGGCAGCTATGAAAGCCCCTTGCACAGCATACCCAGTAAAGCTCTAGTAACCTGAGAAACTGCTGGGAATGTACCTAAGGTAGCCACAGACTTATTTAACACCATGTCGATCCACAGCGTCGACTTCAGATAATCTGTCCTGCAGTTAGAGCTGCTAAATATATTTGCACACAAAACTGGGGGAAGACGTCTTTTAGCAAATTTGCAATTCTTTTATAGAGATCTGCTTACAATTATCTATGAATACACTGTCCTGTAATCTGACCCCCCCACCACATGCTGAACACAAGCCAACAAATTGTGTTTTTATTGCTTCTGTCATTCAAATCCACAAGTCATTTAACAATATGATCCATTGACAAACAGCCAGAGATGTTTAATTAATATTCAGACCTACCAGGAGTTAAAAATATGCATGGAAGAAATCCAACAGCTATTTATAGATGAGACCTTAGAAGATTATTAGGTAATCCTTTAATTTCTCAAACTGCTGCCGGCTTTCCTGCTTTCGTCCTGAACAATCAACACTTCATACAGGAGGCTGAGATCAGCTCACGCCAAACACAGTGGCCCCGCTCCTAAATGTCAGCACTGCTTCGTGCCTACAGGCCGCGGTCTCTCCAAATATAATCCACAATTAACATGTTGGTGTATATACAGCTGAGACTTCAAACGTATTTTTCTCAGCAAGCAGCGTCTCCGGGCAGACAACAGGCATCACAAACAGCCTGCAAGCTTCAAAATATTGGACTTGTCAAGTTTCAAATTCTAAAATACTTAATTGATTCCAGAGGGAAATAAAATGTTGCTATCACTCATAGTAGTTCAAAATTCTTCAAAGAGTTGTAGATAATGATGGCTGTGGGCAAGATCTCCTGTAGCAATCTGTACTACAGCGAACTTGAAGAAGCCTCTGACTGAAGACACTATTTTTCTAAGACAGTCTCATGAAGTCGACGGTGAGGGTTTTCCGCAATTCTCTTAAATTTCTTTGTTTGCATTCATATTCAATGTGAAGATGAATAATTTTTTATTTTTATTTTTTTTTACAAAAAAGCTCCAAAAGAAACAGAAAGAAAACACAAGCAGTTTGAAGCTACTCAAGCCGTCAGAAAACTGGGAGCAGCTGATCACATCAATTAAATTCAGGAAGACTTGGAATTTAAACAAACCACCAATTAGGATCTCAAAACCTCACAGGAAAACCGTTATCTGCCGTCATCGGTGGTGCTAACTAGCCTTAGCATTTATGACAGGCTTTGCTGATGGGGAGAAATTATATCGTAGCCGAGAGCAAGGACGGAAGAGAAAGTTGTGAGCAGAATCTTCACGGCCATGATTGACAGTACTAAGACCCTCCTCCTGGCTCTGATTGGTTGTTTCTTGTTAGAACTGGAAGCATTGGTTGAAGGCAGAGGAGAACTTTTTTTTTTTTTTTTCAGATTATCTGTCACATACCATATTGTCATAGTGACAGTCTCAATATGTATGTAAGAATATATTTTTTTATAAAAGTTACACACTGCAGCTTTAGGCTCAATTTCAATTGAGATGCTACACTTAAACATGATATTTGTGTTCAAATCGAAGACACTTGATAAAGAAGTGGTAACCAAGGGTGCTACGACTTATTAGGTTTGGGGAGAGTTAATATTTCCTCATAGGGAAATATTATTGATAGGTTGTTTTTTGATAGCTTTGTTTTTTGATAGCTTTGTTTTTTCCCTTAAGAAATTAAACCATCATTTAAAGTTGCATTTTGCATTTAATCCGTTTGTGTTTATTATTAAATTAGGTTAAAAATCTGAAACACATAAACATGATTTTTTTTTTTTTAAAGAAAAATATTTGGCACTTTATATCTCTAACCTTTACACATTTTTTAATGTGACATATCTAAATACTTGCTATTGGTGATTGAGACAATGGTGGAATTTCAGTGCATCAAATGTATATTTTGAAAAGAATGGTGACACTGATCTGGGCTGATCATGATCAAATTCCAGTCTCAAGTTGACAGATTACTGCATTTCTATTTCTACCCACTTGTGTCAATTGCAGAATCAAAACATGTTCATATGAGTCAGTGTTGTGCCAACAAAGCTACAATCAAATCACAACAGTTTTTTCCTCAATCAGTGTACTTTAAGCATTTCCTTCATTTACATTGTCTAAATGTGAGGCAATAATGCCAACATAGGTCCAGCTAATGGCTCTCACGCCTGCGATTTATGGTGTAACAGGCAGGATAATATTACCTTCCGAAGCACCTTCCCACATGGGGGCCACCCACAGCCCTGTCCCAGGCCGTTGATGAACCAGAGCAGGGAGAACATGAACACAGTTGAAGACCAAGAGAAGGCCACGTTAATGCCTCCGACCAAGAAGAGGCCGATCGAGAAAAGCCAGCGGGCGCTGATCTGGTCCGACAGCACGCCGCTGATGAACTTACTGATGGCGTAGGCCATGGTTTGACTGCTGGTGATCAAACCTGCAGAGGAAAAACAGAACAGTGCCTGTTGAAGCAACATACTGGCTCTTCAAGGCACATAATATTTAATTAGCTATGCGGGCTTCTTAACAGTTGAGGATGAAAAAATCTCTAGAGAGTAACTTTAATAAAAATTAAAGAAGCAACAATTCAGTAATTATTTATTTATCCAAAAATAACATCAAATGCTGTCATAACTCATATCATCCAAGTATCTTCAAATAGCTGTTGTGCATGGTGATGCTGTGGGTAGGAGGGATCTTCATTAGCAGTCAGTCTTGCAACAAATCTGAAGAGGCCTCTGACTAAAGACTATGAAATATTCAAATATTTTCAATAAAAAAATGAAAAAAATATCTTATTTTTCCCATTTATTTTCTGCACATAAACTAACAACTCCTATTATTTTTTTCTATAAACATATAAAGTAACAACAACTACTTTTTATTGTTTAGCAAAACTTGGAGATTGCAGAGTCAGACATATACTTAGATGCATAAATGGGTATAATTTCTTAATAAGGCACTTTTTTAACTTTTGTATGTTGCTGTATTAAAAAAAAAAGAACAATCAGAATTGGAAAGGAAGAAAAGCTCATCAGTCCTCAAAATCTTCAGGGTAGGAGCAAACTGTAACAATAGCCACATAAAAATAGTAGTTGCCAGCGTAAAAGTAATCACTACTTACCCAAGTCATCTTTGTCCAGTTCTATCTCCTCCATTACAGACGGCATAACAAAAGAGAATGTCTTCCTGTTAAAGAAATACAGCGAGTAGCCAGTGAACATGCACAGGAAGATGACCACCCGGTAGTAACCGTAGCCTGTGGCCCCCATGATTACAGTCAACTGATCAAAATGTAACGTATTAAAAGCCTTTTTCTAGTTCTGTATTTGGGTCCTCTGGCTTTTAAATCATAGCCAGCAAAAGACACAGTAGCAAGCTGTAGCATCAGCCAGGCAGTCGAGGTGGAGGGTTTTCCATAAGCAGAACTCCTTGCAGCCTTGAAGCTCTGTGCCTCTGAGAGAGCTGCTTGTGTGCGAGGAGGGAAACCTCACACCAGCCTGGAAATGAGAACATACCAGACATGACTTCAGCGAGAAGCAGCCACACTGAACACCAGACAGAAGTATATCCACAGCTGTGATTAAATTAAGAATACTTCAACATGTTTGCTAAACCAGGAAATGTTGAGTGTAATAATACATGTAGAGTGTAAATTACTATTAAGTATTCTCCATGTTTGCTATTATGGTGTAATGAAGCAATCCCTTTTTATGTGTACAGTACACAGTAAATAAAGAAATTGTCTGTGTGAAGATATTAAGAAAGGTGTATAAATTAGTTCCGCTTCAAATATACTGGAGCAAAAAGTGTTAGAGCCAGACTTTTAAAGTTTTGTGTCGGTGAAACGGTCGTTTAATATTTGTGAGAGATTGAACTTATCTACAATTACAAAACTCCTATAGGGTTTTCATCTGCAACGCCAACTTCTCGGCCACAAGGCACAAACACTTTACACCAAAAACACCTTCTCGGTTTCTGAATTTAAAAAAAGGAGCTGAAGCTGACAAGTGGGAAGGTCAGATTAAATATCATAACTGTTCCTTTAAGTTACAGCCGTTGCCGCAGTAAACCTGGAGATATCACGGCGCATCAGTGGATATTAACTTCAAAACGTGTCTTCAAACGTTTACAACGTTTGTAAAAGCAACGAGAAAAGAGCCTTAAATGGCTAAAATGTGCGATTTCCAGCCGGTAAATGTTTAGCGGGCTACTGCGCTCGTGCGGGAAACAACTACATCGGTTTGTTTTAGAGGTTCTCTGTATCTCTGGGCCGAAATATTTAGCATACAAATCCGGACCCAGCTCGGCAGACGTGGACGCCCGTTTGTTATCGGAGAGCAGCTACCCGCTCTGAGATGCCGACAGAGACACAATCGCTCTGGCCTTACCTTCATCCACGTCTCCGGTCCGTCCCATACACGTTACAAGGACGGAGCGCGCACACGAATCAGCGGCTCGGCGAGCGCAGTCAGGCAGGCACGTAGCTAACACACCAATGCACGAGCACGAAGGAAGGCCCCATTGCTGATGTACGTCAGCGCGTCCGCCATATTGAATGTGGCGTTCGAATGTTCTTTTTTCATAACTTCTGTGTTTCGTTCCACTTTTGTTTATTATTTTTTATTTTAGCTCTTACTGTAGTAAACAATGACCTCATAACATTCATTTCCGGTAGTTTAGCAATACTTCCTTAGAGATTATAGCAAAAAAAAAAAAAAGAAGTCATTATTTAGGTTCAATATAAAACTAAAGACCCTGAATGCTATTCGGACAAAAAGGCTAGATTGACAAAGAAGAAACTATTTATTTATTTACTTGTTTTATTTTATTTATTTTTGCTTTTCTTTGATACCAAGTTGCTTCTTTTATCTTAATGTGAGCAGACACGCAAACACTAGTCCTCTCACCTAAAATATAAAATCATCAAATGTTAACTGTATTCCGTCGTGCGAGTCACGAAACTTTTAGAAATTACTCGGAATTTGCAACATCTTCTTTACTGCGGCGCCATCGTGTGGCCAAATTCACCCAAAAAACAACAAAACGACTCCTTTATTCTGCCGCGTCAAAACTGCTTTCTGTCCCGTTTGTGCGCATGTGACTGTCGAATTTTGGGCAAAATCTGACATCGACGTGACTCGTCAGAGAACGTAACGCAACAGGTTTCTCTGTTCGGCCAGAGTTCCAGACAGAAGGATTAAAGCCTTTGGAGAAGTTGGTCAAGATTAGCAATCTGCCTTTGTTAAAACAGTTGAATACTTTTAGAGTACTGATTATTACTACTTTATCTTCACAAGAATAGATTTTCTCTATTCTTATAAAGTAAGTATATAATGTGAGAAATTTCAGCTAAATGCTTTTAGGTCTTTTGTACGATGATGTATGATATGAACATTGTAAGAACTTGCAGATCTGTTTTGATTTAGAACAGTACATACATACTCTAACCTGATGGATATGAAAAGCATGTATCAAATGTCTCTTAAACCGTCTTTTAACGTGGTAGGGTGATTTGGAAATAGACTTTGTGGAGTTGGAAAAAAAAGGGTAGGTCAGAACTGGTTCTGACATTCTGCATCTTTCAACTTAATGATCCCTGTTCACCACGAATGTTTACGACTTTACAGCTCACAGAACTGAGGTGTAAACAAGTTTAGATATTGTGAACTTAAAAGCTGTGTCATTGTATTCATGTGGGAAAGAAAAATATATAGCCTGTTGGTGAATAACATAAGTATAGCAGGAGTGGTAATACACTGATTGTCTGAACTGGGAGGGGTGGGGCATATGCATATGTCAATTTGCATATGTAAATTTGCACACGTAAATTTGCATATGCAAATTTGCAGATTTAATTTTATAGGCTCCACCCCTCACATAGTCCAAAATGGAGCCTTGGGGAACTCCAGAGCTGATATTTTTGGATTGTATTTATTTATGTTTGTTTGTTTGTTTGTTTGTAAAGTTATATTAAAAGGTGGGCTAAGTCTTTGTACATGTTTTCTGATCAGTTTTTGTTTTACAGTTTCTTGGTGAAATTCCTTCTGACTAACTTGTGGCCTATGGTAGGCAATAGAAACGTGCTGTGCGTCAGCGAATCACTGACCGCCTCTTTGTGTCTCCCTTTCCATTTACAGTCACAATGAGAAGAAGTCCTCGACTACAATTATCGGGTTACTACAACTCGGAGGGACTGCCCACCGTCTCCTACAGGGACTATTCTTATAAGTAAGCTGGACAAACAATATGTTCACCTTTATGCGTACTCTTCACCCAATAATCCCAATGTAACTATTTGCACTTATTTTGTTTGACCCTTGCAGAGACTTCAGGGAGCAAAAGAGTCCTAGATATGCCAACTTCGGCACATACTCGTTAGTAGACACCGTCCCTCGCATAAACATGGGCATGGACATGGAAATGGACTCAGATGCAGAAACCATTCCATACATAGACATAGACACGGACTCAGATGCAGAAACCATTCCATATATAGACATGGACTCTGATGCAGAAACCATCCCATATGTAGACTTGGACATGGATTCAGACATGGAATCCATCCATTACACAAGCTTCAACATGACCACTGAAGCGCGGATGACAGCAGAAGAAGAATCCCACTTTGAAAACAGAAGGAGGACTGCCATTAGCAGATCATTCCCCAAAATTAAGCACGGGGAGAACATTTTCGTTTTCTTCGTCACATGCCTCCTGATTTTTGGTAACCTCCTTATTTAACAAACATTTTGAGATTCTATGTTTTAGAGTGGATATCATTGACCTGGCTGTCTTCTGATTTGTTTCTGCTCATTAATCAGTTCTGACTTACCTGATTTATGCCATGAGCTTTCCACTTGAAGAGTTTCCTGCGTCCCCTTTTGCAGAGGACATAGTATGTTTTCAACAATGCGTCTTTTTGTTCTCACTACACAAACATAAGTCAAATCATGTCTTACTCTCCTCTCATTCACAGGCCTTCAACACATACTGCAAAGGGAAGATAATAGACCCAATAGTGCTGAAGAAGACTCTGACGGGCTCAATGATTATGAATGACTACTGTTTCCCACCATAAATTAGCATCAGCATCACAGAATGGGACACTGCGTTCAGAGAATATCACTGAAATCGCACCTCAATTTTCTTTGTTGTTTATGATTTCTCTCTAACTGTGTGTCTGTGTTTTAAGGTCCAAATCAGATCCACACACAGGACAGAGCTATGGATAGGTAAGTATGGAGGTAAGTATGCCTACACGAGTTCAATCAAGTTGAAAACATTCATTCAAACTTCTTGTGTGAAGTCTGTAGTTTTAAAAAATACCATCAGAATTGTTCGATTTTCACTCTAAGATGAATTCTGGAGGGCATAAAAGCGTAAATCTTTACAACCTTAAATATTCATTAATAGTTCAATTGGAATAAGTTAGCATCTTTATTGTAGTGACAAAAATGAAATAAGTATTTTTAGCGTTAATTCGAGAAAGAAAGGGCTGCACAGTGGAACAGCGAGAAGATCCAGGGTTTAAATCCCAATCTGAGGTCTCTGCATGGAGTTTCAATGTTCCCACTGTGCATGCGTGGGTTCTCTCCAGGTGCTCTGGCTTCCTCCCACAATGCAAAGACATGACTGCTGGTTCAATTGCTAACTCTAAATTGCTCTCAGGTGTGAGTTGCTGTGAACTTACATAGTTCACAGTCACACAAACTCATGCTTCAGTTGATCAGTTTTATATGACTAGTTTCACATAAAACTAATCACAGAAATGGATGTAAACTGTTACAACAGTTTGATTGATTCAAATAACAGTTCATCAGTGTAAATCTTTACTTGACTGGTGGTATTTTCAGTTTCGAGGTGTTCCACAACACGAGTGAGTATGTTTTCAGTCAGACTCAGATCCTCTGTAAGGATCACAGGGCATCGAAGAGTTTTTATTGAGTTATAGCTCAGCTTGGTGACTAGCAGCAGACCAGCCGACTGCAGAATGCTTTGTCATCCTCAAGGTCACTGAATGGGTTTTCTCCAGGTGCTCTGGTTTCCCCCACCCCAAAAAAAAAAAAAAAAACCTGAAAGAAATGAAATTAGGATTTTTGGAGAAAAATCCCAATTTCAAACCAATTTAACACAGGTTTGCTAACTTGCACCTGTAATTTCAGGACTAATAGCTAATGTACTCAGCTAGACTAAATTGAGTGAAAATGCAAAGGGATACAGACAAACACATTGTGTCCCTTTGCAATTCAATGTGTATTATACACACACATTTTTAAGCCTTTATTTCTGTACACTGTGATGATTTCCCACTTAATTCTGGGAAAAAACAAAGCATTAGAATCACATAAATATGTATTTATACATATGTGATGCTCATTTCACAGGTACAGTATGTTCTCTCCTCGTGTGTGTTCAGTGACATTATGTCGACATGAACTCTGTGTGTTCTCTTCTGAACTCCAGAAGCCCTGCCTTGCACCTCCACTCCCCAGCCGGTCGAGGCAGATGGCCGCCCGTCCTGAGCCTGGTTCTGCTGGAGGTTTCTTCCTGTTAAAAGGGAGTTTTTCCTCCCCACTGTTGCCCAGTGCTTGCTCACGATGGGGGATTGTGTCACAAAATGACTGCAATCAGCTGGTTTCTTTAGATAAATAAATTGAATTGAATTCGAACTGCGTTGTCTGAGTTTTTGTTTCTTAGTTGGGTTACAAAACTTGGAATTGAGTTGATCTCAAGACACAAATCGAAAGACTACAATCAAGTTAGCAAAATCACAAAAGGTTCGGGACTTGACTTGGACGTTCACACTGACTGTTTTGTCTTGAAAGTTTTTTTTTTTTTTTTAGCAACATCAAACCTATAAATTATTACATTTTGACGAAACCACATGATTTAGGCTGATTTGAACGTTTAGGACTTGGATGCTCTGAAGATATGAAATCTTCATGTCTTTACATAGAACCTGATACATGGATTAAACAACTTCTGATTTACTTGTGATTGCAAAACAATGACCTACGTTAGTAGCAATAAAAACAAAAAGAGTTGCTTGATTTAATCAAATTGTTTAAGCTTTTTGTGGTACATTTTGTAAGAAGCTTGGTGACCATTTTATGAGACTGGAACAACCAATAGAGTCAAACAAATATAATTTATGGAAAGATAAACTCATTTAATCAGGAATTTATTTCAGTGAACAAATGTAACACCTACTAAATGTAGTAGGTGTTTCTCTTAACAGTTATGTGTTGCAGTCATCCAGACAACAGATGGCGCTGAAGGATTATGTTTATGAAAATGGAGATTCCGGATTAAAGCTACATGTCTTCCAGATTTGTATTCTGGTTGTTTCTTCTTTTTATTTTAGATTAGCTTCAGAGTTTAGGACATTTTATTTCCACAATGTTCTGTTAAATAAATAACTAAATAAATAGATGCTTCGGTTACATTTACTTTAGATGGGTTGTTTTGGTACAAATATTTGTGCCAGAAAGGTATTTGTATTATGTATTGTGAATATCTTCAATGCTTCAAATATTAAGTGAAATGAACAGATGGAAATCCAACTGCAGAACTTTAATTTATGTGTTTTCTAGCTCGTTTTTTTCTATACTTCACATTATTATGTTTTGTTTTTCTTAGTAAAGTATTATGAATTGTACATCAAGAAGACAAAGGAAGGCCCTCCCACAATCTATATTTTTATTTTATAGATTTGATGGGGTTCTAGCTGATAACTATGCCTATGTAGGTCTCTTGTGTGAAGTTATAAATATGCTTCACTGTATTAACGTCAGTTCTGGTACAGAAGTGAACAGTCATAAACAGTTATAAACCTGAAATTATCTGTGATTCTTTGCTCTATGGGCTGAATATTTAGATTTTTTTATCCATCTAAAGCTTCAAACTCCTCATCATGGTGAGAGAAGAGGGAAGTAATCCATCAGCTGCTATTATGCACATCCAAATGAGCTTCAGAATGGATAGAAAAAAAAAATCACCTCCTCTTGTTCACTCGACTCTTTCCACAAGCAATCCCGGTTGCACAGCAGGAGGCGGCTTGGCTATGGGTCGAGGATAAGCTCCACATTTCAGTTCGTGCATCTAACTCAGTCACTGCTGCTTGACGCTGAGCATGGCCGTTGCAAATCTTTGGGATTTTGGTAGAGGGTTGCTTCCAGTCATAACCCCATCCCTGTACTGTGGAGAATCACTGAACGATACAATCTGGATTTCAGGCAAAAACAAATGATTAAAGCATTTCCGACATGAAGCTACAGGGCGGGGACTTAAAAATGGAGAGAATGCAGCTCATAGCTGCAAAGAGACATAATGAAAAAAAAAAAAAGAAACGTAACAAAAATATAAATGTTTCTCAGCTGCTTAGAGGAAGACATTCTGCGTTTCCAGAAAGTCCCATGGGATTTTGTTAACTTTTTATCACACAGCAATCGTCTGTTAGACGCTGATGTGCTGAGAGCAACATCGAGAAAATCACTGGCTGGAAACTAGCTGTATTCATATACTGAAGGCACACAAAGCCAAGAAAACATTTATTTTGAAAAAAAAAATCTAAGAGACAATAGATAGAAATAAATTAAAGAAATCAGTGTGTCTCTATAACCTGCAGGTGAAAAAAATAAACATTTCTTCTCATACCTGCACAATAAAATTCACATTAATCTCTCATGCAAATGTGAACAACCAAAATCCCCTCTGGAGTGAAAAATTTATTCTGCAGCCAGCTCCCAGTACAATTATATGATGCACCAAAGAGGCCCGTCAAGAACCAAATCGTCGTGCACAGAACAGAAATGAAATTGTCACATAATTACTGTCGGAGTAATTATGTGAAACCAAGTCCTGACCTGTCACGCTGAGCTGCGTGGATTTGCACAGAAAAAACCCCATCAGGGAGTTTGTTGTGTTGACAGGAACATGTGAGGATGAACGTCACATGAACTCCAGGCCTCATTAAACAGAGCATCAAAAAAAAAAAAGAAAAAAGAATGGTGTTTTTAGAAGTGTCACTCACTGTGAGTAAAATTACTTTTAAGTCACATTCGATATTTATAGGATTGCTTTTTTAACAACTGAAGTTTCTATAATTACTTGATTGTGCTATTAAATGGCACTACCTGCCTGGAAAACATGTAATACCCTCTAATGCTCATGTTGGACGTTACCCGCAGAAGCAATCATAACAGCAGAATCGCATAAATTGTTGAGTCAAATGATGCAACTGGGGAGAAAATAACAGCGCATACTGTGAGGCTCGGCTCCATCAGCAGTTTCCAGGAAGCCCAGCAACAGAGCAGCGGCGTGATGATAATGCAAACAATGGATGACAAACATGTTTCCAGCAGAACGCCACATGCAGCAGGAGGAAAAATGTCAGGTTGATTTCTGGACCTGCGCTCATCTTCAATGGCTGAGTCATTGGAGGGAGCAGCAGGGGGAGCGACGAAAATAACTTGTCTCTCAACAGCTCATTTAAAAGCAGATGCTCACTCATGTTGGCAGTCACCCTCCCAGGCTTCTCTTTCATGAATTACAATATCCAACATGCACTTCTTTGCCAATTGAAGTTCTTCTATCTTCAGTTCAGAGTTTGATAAGTGCGTAAATATTAATGTGTGGAAGGTAATCCAAGTGGAACATGCTGACCTGCCCTATCTGATGCGTGCGAAGGATCATAGCTGCCTGAGCTGTCAAACCATAATGACTGCTTCCTCCTTTTTGTTCTTTTTCATCAGCTACCATAGCGTGGCTATTAACTGCTGGCGGCCACAGCATTACAACGTGTTCTGTTGTGTCCACCGGAGCAGATACTCTAATTGCATCTCCCAGAGTTATGGCTCTAAATGAAAAATTGAAAGACGTGTGAGGTGACAGTTCCAACAGAGACGAAAAAACATGTCTGCATGTCTCAAAAACTCACCACATTATCAACGTATAGGGTGACCTTTCCACTTTTCTTCATGAGAAAGTCTCAGCCTTTAATGAACTTAATGGGAGTGTTTCTTTGCCTTTTGTGAAGGACCAACATAAATTGATGTATAATTATAAATCGAAATGAAGACGAAACATGTTTTCCAAAACTATATACCACAAAGCAATCTAGAAAGTGCAGTGTTCAGATGGACTCAGTTCCACTTATGCCTCCTCAACGACAATCAATCACCGATTATTAAACAGAGTTCAACCATGTATAATGTAATATCAGTGGAAGTCTAGCAGCTTCATTGATAGGGTCTGGTCAAGCTTAGTGGGAAAACGGATAGAATGTAACACCAAACAGGAGTTAAGGTTTAGCTTCAACATGTGGTCTCTCCATTCAAGCTGACAAATCTTAAGCAACTTGGGTATTGATGTTTTCCTCTACTAGAGACATGCTGTTGTAATTGTGCTTTTCAGACTTTTAACAGTAGCTGGCTGTATCCCTTTGCATTGCTGTTTGCTCTTCTGGTGTTAGTCTGTCACAACAAAACGTCACAGCAACCAGTTGAAGTTGGTGACTGACAGTTTTAAGGGACGTGAAAACTTGTGCTGTAGGTAGTTATTCACTGCAGTAGCAGCGCAGCTACTGCTTTCGGGATCAAACCTTTTCCGTTTGCTGCTTTGTTGTGAGCAAACATGTCGCACTATGCAGCAGTGCCAATTTCAGGTCGGAGAGGAGGGGCTGAAAGACTTTGGGAGATCTCCGGAGGAATGACTAAGGAGTGACTCTCAGGTAATTACTACCATTATATATCCAGTCTTCTCCCAAGAGAAGTTTGGATTATTAAGAACTCGACTGATTGTCTACATTAGTGAGCAAACAGCCACAGATGAAGGATGAAGAAAGATGTTTAAGCCTGCGTGTGTACGCCACAGAGAAAACAGTGATGAACATACCTATTTCTGCTTTTACCATAAAACCTGAAAAGTTCTAGAAAAAGAAGGACATTCATCATATAAGTCTAAATACTTGGTGAAGAATGTAATTCTGTGTGATTTACTTTAGGTCTCTATACAATGTTAGCCAAAGAAAATGTCAGTTATATGACTGCTTCATCTTTTATCACTGAACATGGTCCATTTTTCTTCTCTTCTGATTCTATTGTTGCTTTTTCCCTGGGCTCAGTAGCATTATGACAACTATGGAAGACACATAATATTTTACACACACACAAGAAATGTAAGATACAAGACAAATGTAAACAACTGTTTGTAAAGCCATCGGTTCACTTGTAATGCTGACTCTAGAAGTGCTGCCAGCTCTTTGTGAATAAAACTGCATGTAGACCAAATCACATGCAAATTGTTCCATACCATCTGAAGAGTTAGTTTTGGGGTTAGCATGTGGTCTAATTTCTAAAACTATGGCGTTATTAAATGGAATCACAAATGTAGTGCATAAACATTTCAACAAGGAAAGCATAAATCAGCTATTAGTGGAGCTTTGGTGAACGATATTTGTTAGAAGTCGCAAAATCAAACCTAACCTGACCAACTTCTGCCCTTTCTTAGTGTAACCACCTGTCTAGTTCACACAGAATGGAAATTATGAGCTCATGAAAACTGTTTTTGTGGACATCTGCTGATGAGGAAGACGCAATCTGTGTTTAGTGAGATTTGTGTTTATGAGCCCAGAGCTGATGGCACAGGTAGCGACAGTAAGCTTGGAAGC